AATCCTCCGCCCGTGTGTGTCAAATGCATGCCTTTGTTTGGGTGATGACACGTGCCTGTATTTGCTGATGGTGTTTTAACTGCTTGGTTCTGTAAGCAATGTCACCATCTCCTCCAAGGATCTGTGGAGAAGAGTGGTGCTTGCACTTCCCCCTCACCTCCGCTCCACTATGCTTTAGCCCAACCTGAACTATTTTAGTGCAACGATTGAGAGAAGCAGCAATTGCTCATATGATGTGTCACACCATAAACTTCAGGAAAAAGTAATTCATTCCAAGAGTGTAATTCTAGGACTCTGGAACCAAAAATATTAGCTATTACTCATCTTTGTATCTCTTAACACAGAATAACCTAAACCATTTATTTATTTACACAGCAAAGGTTTAGCCAAAAGCAAAGTGTTGAATGTCAAGAGCTACTGTTCCAATTTATTTGGAGTAGTTACTTGCTTTATCGTTTATTTTTTATTTTTGTGCCAATATTGGTCAAGAGTTCAAGTCAGGAGATAAGGGTAATGCGGAGACAAAGAACCCCTACTTGAAACTTGGGAGAGCAAAACTGAACAGTTGGCGTATCTTGAGTAGGTTATGAAAGCGCCAATGTGTTTATTTTATGGTTATCTAACATCTTCAGTATTTTCTCTACTGAATGCTTTTTCCTTCTGCATGAATGAAATTTTCAGGTGTATACACACACATACACACCGTACAGGAGGCTGTGTATATTAAATGTGTTGGGACACATTCAGTCTTCACTTACCTTGGTCTAACTCTGGATGAACTCAAAATTGGGGATTTTGAGCTAAGTCAGCCCTGCAGTAACTGAGTGCAGAGTTTGTTCCCTACATTTCCTCTGTATGCTTCAGAGAAAATTCTAAATCAGAGGAAAAGCCAAGAAACCCAAACAAGCCAAAAAACTCCACAGAAGCTCTGCCTGAGAGTGCTGACCCCTTTGCACAACCCTTGTACCATGGGATGCATTTCATTTAGGAAAGCAAAGTGATCCTACAAGAAAGCAAAAGCAAAAAGAACTGCAGTGCAAGGGAAAGGGCATTGACTAGGAGGACAGTGGAATAAGTAAAAGGAGTAGTAAAGGAGAGTTGACCCTGGAGGAACAGAGAGGGACAAAAGCTAGAAACTATTATAGAGAACATCCACATGAGAGTTGATAAGCTGCTTGTGTGCTTGGATCAACTACAGTTCTTTTTCTTTATAGGTCTCTATAGAGATGGAGAGGGGGGCATCTGTCTGAGATGTTTCTACGATGCCCTGTGCTGCAGCACAGCCCTAGGCGAGGACACAAGGTCCCACACGCGTCTGTCCCAGAAGGGAGCAATATTGCACTGAAGCTGGTTTCCTGCCTGTCTCCTGGGCAGATGCAAGTCTCCCGTAGTCTTACCTGGCATTTTAATCTTCTCCTCCTCCAGTGCAAAGCTGTTGCTGATACAAATTCTTTCCCACTTTGTCAGCTCTGTCAGCTGTGCTGGTGGATCTCTTGGACCTGATGCAAAGGGTGTTGAAGGCGGAAAGGTAGCTCAGAGTCAAGGGTGGGTCTGAAAGTGGGCTTTGCTTGTTTGCTGGGATACATAGGGTGCCTGACCAAGTTTCTGTCAAAATTGAGGAGAAAATTTGTCTTTAAGGCACAGAAAGTTTATTCTTTGTCATAGTGGAAAAATCATCAAGTAGTCACATAGTTGGCTCTGTCTCCTGCGTTCAGGTGGTCGCCCCTGCTCTCCATGGCTATGATCGGCTGGGGCAGCAGACGTGCCTGTATTTAGTAAGGTGCTTTTTTGGTTTTTAGGTCAATGAACTGGGGATGACTAACCGATATGGATAACAGATTACTCTGTTATACTCCATGTTTTATATCTTGCAACTGTGGAAAATACCAGCTTTTTCTTTTTTAAAAAAACCCAATTTGTGCAGAGATTGTGTTGTGTTGCCAGCAAACAAAATGGCATCTCATGTTTCTGTAACCCCTGAATTTGTCCTCACCAGAATAACTTCTGTGGTTTGCTGTCTAAATAATCTATGCAAGCCTCTGTGTTCTTGGTCCTATCTCATTAGATGGAAGAACATTCTAATTTAAGACTGTTTCCTTGGTGAATCACCTGAGGCTTTCAAAAATGGTGAAGTTAAGCTCTGATTTGCCTGTTGTTTTGTCTTACAACTAAATGATCTTTCTTTAATGTGACTAGTCAGGAATTTAGCTTGCAGGCGTTCATGGTCCTGATGCTGCTCTGGGCTTCACCCAAGCAGCTGTCTTGTGTGTGGTGTTCAGCCTTGTCTCTTCATCAAGGGTATTTCATCAGAATGATCTTTTAGCAGCAGAAATGTATCCAGCTAATAATGTACTCAGCAATCCTGACTTCTGGCTCTTAAGACAGACTATGAAAGCCCCTACTCCTGTAGTTTTATTCTTCAATTCCTCTGCTGGTAAAACTTGACTTTGATTCAAGGTGTTTGTGTCAAAGGGTCTGGATCTATTTTTGTTGTCATATTTCCAGACCATATTTTTTGTGGCTTTTGTTCTCTAAAAGGAAAACCAAAATGTTCGCTAATTTAACCTTTCCTTTGCTTGCAGAAAAAATAAAGGTAAGGCTAGTCACGCTGGGAGCTGTCATGTGCTTGATGTGCGCTTGGCACTTTCTCAAGCTAGGAAGGCAGCCAGGTATGCTTTGAATAAGTTTGTCTCCCGGTTGCCGAAGCCCACAAGCCCACAGTGCTGTGGGTTGTAACAATGTCGTTGGCCATAGCTGAAAGTGAGTTTCCTGCCAGTAAGTGGTCCGTCAGCTGTGAGGAAGGATGTTGTACGAGCTGGAGATGGAGGGAAGCCTCTTGGGCTTGTGCTGTTGTCTGAGTGTTAAGGCTGGGGTAAATGAAACTCTGAGGTTTTCCCCACATTTGTTATTTGTTCTTGTTGTAGGACTAGGGTAATGTGAGAGATCATTGAATCAATCATAGAATTATAGAATTGTTTTAGTTGGAAGAGCCCTTTAAGATCATTGGGCTTGTGCTGTTGTCTGAGTGTTAAGGCTGGGGTAAATGAAACTCTGAGGTTTTCCCCACATTTGTTATTTGTTCTTGTTGTAGGACTAGGGTAATGTGAGAGATCATTGAATCAATCATAGAATTATAGAATTGTTTTGGTTGGAAGAGACCTTTAAGATCATCAAGTACAACCGTTAACCTAGCACTGCCAAGTTGGCCACTAAACTGTGTCCCTCAGCACCACCTCTACACGTCTTTTAAATACCCCCAGGGATGGTGCCTCAAACACTTCCCTGGGAAGCCTGTTCCAATCCTTGATAACCCTTTCAGTGAAGGAATTTTTCCTAATATCCAATCTGAACCTCCCCTGATGCAACTTGAGGCCATTTCCTCTTGTCCTATCGCTTGTTACTTGGGAGAAGAAACCAACCCCCACCTCTCTACACCCTCCTTTCAGGTAGTTGTAGGGAGTGATAAGGTCTCCCCTCACCCTCCTTTTCTGCAGGCTGAATAACCCCAGTTCCTTCAGCTGCTCTTCATGAGACTTATTCTCCAGACCCCTCACCAGCCTCGTTGCCCTTCTCTGAACCCGCTCCAAAACCTCACTGTCCTCTGGTACCTCAAGATCCTCCAAAGCCAAATGAAGGCAGACAGCAAAGATGCGAGTGCAGCATCTTTGTGCCTCCATCTGGGAGGGCAAAGGGATAGTGGCATTTTCTGTGCGTTTTGCTGAACCTGTACCGTACAAGCCAGACTCTTTCACATCATGTAAAATTCAGTGTCAGGCAGGAATACCAAGCCCCGTGTTTCCCCCTGCCTCGTCATCCTGACAAACAAGCAGCTGTCACTTGGGCAGCGAAGGGCGAGCTGCGGGGTCTGGGTGCGTGCAGTGAAGGAGTGCCTTTGTGGCAGGGCTCTGAGGAGAGGAGGAGCTGGGAGGAGGATTTCACGGTGGCTTTTGTTGCTCAGCTGGCACAAGCTGTTAAATCTTTGTCCGGCACAAATGACCTGGAAGTCTGCAGCACCCAGTCTAAATAAGAAACCTCAATAAATAAATAAGTGTCTATAAATCTGTGGCAGAAAAAGGCAGATGCTTTTATTGCGACTATTCAGCGAATCCTTTAAAACAATAAAAGGAACCAGATTCTTTAAGCATGGAAAGGAGCGATATCCTAGGCGGTCCCATCCTTTTGTTCTCATGTGGTGTTCTGCACCAGGAATGAGAAGGAAGGCACTTGGATTGGCGCTAACACGTGCTGTGTTATGGATTGTGGTACAGAGTCTCCTTGGTTTTATTATGGACTTTCATGATGGGCTCCAGTTGGCTTGGACAGCTCTGAGCAGGTGTGCCACTGAGAACTTGCTTGAAAAAAAAAAAAAAGGAAGTTTTGCCGCCTTGGATTTTGCGGAGTTGCTCAGTTCTAGCAGTCACAATGGGATCATCTTTCATGTACATTTTAAAAGAGGAAAAAGAAATTTGCCAGGATAGTGGTACCAAAATGATTTTTATTTTTTTTTTTTTTTTTATGGTATGCTTTTATTCTTTTTACTCATGCAAAACTAATATTTGGCTATAGTTTAAGAAATTTTTTGTGGAAACATATAATCTGAAGTCATATATCCAAAGCCAGGAAAAGCCAAAAATGACACTTAAAACTTGCAAACACCAGCCTGAAGACTTTCTGGAAAAATACATAAAATAAATGCCCAGTGTGCTAAATCTTAGGGTATGGTTAATAAGATTGTCTTCTCTCTTTTGTTGCCTATTTCTCTGCAGTAATTTTTGTCTGTCATCATACAAGGGAATAAAGAAAGAAATTGTCACTGGGGTTGGAAAAACAGCTATTTCTCTGATCTAGGCAGTTGTGCCTGAAACCATGGGGTATCAGTTGAAACTGACATCCTTTTGATTTTCTTTTTTTTTTTTTTTTTGAGATTGCTTATACAAGGTTAGAGCAATAAATCACTGGTGTGACTGCTAACAGCCTCCCGTCCTCTGTTTTTTCATTAGGTGGCAGTGAAAGTAATTGACAAGAAAAGAGCCAAAAAGGACACGTATGTCACCAAGAATCTGCGACGGGAAGGGCAGATCCAGCAAATGATTCGCCACCCGAATATTGCTCAGCTGCTGGATATACTGGAAACTGAAAACAGTTACTACCTTGTCATGGAGCTGTGCCCTGGTGGCAACTTGATGCACAAGATCTATGAGAAAAAAAGACTCGAGGAGCATGAAGCGCGCAAATACATCCGGCAGCTTATCCTGGCAGTTGAACATCTTCACCGGGCAGGAGTAGTTCACAGGTAATCTTAAAAACCCTCTCCGGTTAAAATTTATCTTAGAGCCTCTAAGTGGTATTTTAGCATTTATTTGTATAGTAAGGAGTGTTCCTTATAAAAATGTACTCCTGACAGCTTTTTTTGGCTAATCTTCACGATACTGTTTAGATGCTTGTCTTGTAGACATTATAAAGTATCTGCAGAAAGCACTTCAGAAAGTGTGTAACTTCGGGTGAGCACAGGGGAGCTGTGCTGACTCCATGTCCTTAAAGATAAGCCTGTGCTTTCCAAACGTAGGGCTCTTTTTCTGCAAGCAGCACTAATTTGCCACTTGAAAGTGCTGTACTAACATTAACTAATGAATCATTTCACTATTTCATTGAGGAGGTGGTTGTGTCTGTTGTTTTACTGGTGGAAATACAGCAGTATGGGGTGATGAACTGATTTGCCCAAAGCCTTACAGTGGGTGAGGACGCTCAGGTGGGACAAAGCCTGAGTGGGACCACAGAAGTCCCTTGCTTCTGCTTCTCTGCTCCTTCTGATGATTACGTTGCCCCAACAGGACCTCACAAGTTTGGGTGCTGTGAAGTACAATGCAAAGTATGCAACTGGTTAGTCCATCTCGCAGTGTCTTCTCAGGAGAGATCCATACCTGTGGTGATATATCACTTTCTTTACGATATTGGTTCAATCAGGGTGTAAGCAGGATGGGGATTTCCTTGCATGAGGAGCGTGCTGTGGGGTTAAAAGTTTACCTGGGCACGAGGGGAAACAAGTCAAGTTCATCTAAGAGAAGTCTGCAGAGGGTTGCTGAGTAAGGAGGAGCTACCTCTGCCTGAAGTCCCCGAGCAGCAAGTGGTAGAGGCAAGGAGAGTTCAGGTGGAGTTATCGCACGTAATTGCCTCTCCCTGTTCCTTTCTCCACTTATGTGTTCCTGGCTGCTACAGAGACAGGAGGACAGCGGGCTGGGTGGACCTTTGGTCTGAGCCATTATGTCTCCTTTTCTTTTCTTAGGTGTATTTATAGGGTATTGTCTAAGAAGGAGGCTCGGCTTCCTAAATTTGGGCCAACTGATGTCCCATATACTTCTCCATATGATGCTGAGAAAGTTGAGTAGGCCCTATCCTCTTAGGTTATGCAGGCATGTAGTAGGAGTTAGGCACGTTTTAAGGATCTGGGACTTAATTTCCTTGGCTGCCCTGGCTCTGTATGATTCTCTGATGGAGAGCTGTTGTACAGGCAGCTGGCAAACTGCCTGAAGGCAGCCCACAAGCCAGCTCCTCCAGCTGTGCCCAGCTGTGTGCTGAGCTGCCTACCGCTGTGCAGTGCTGTTGGGTGCATCTGGCTTGGTGGAACTCCATGTGCTCTGAAAACTGCTTTATTTGTCTTGAATCTCTCTCTGCGTGTTCCTTGTTATCGATTAGGGATAGGTGCTACGTGCACGTACAACCTCAGGTGTACTGAGGTCTTATCTCGAGCTAAACTTCTGGTACCACTGTAATATAAATATTTGAGCAGCCACCAGGTCTATTCTGCAGGTTCTCTATCAGCAGCTAAACCGCCGACCTCTTTAAATTATTAACTCCACAGTTTGGGGCATGGAAAAGGAAGAAGTCTACGCGTTGCTTTAAGGGATGAATTGATATCCGGTATATAGAGAGAGAAAGGAAGGAAAAAGGTCAAAGTTTCTGAGTCGGGCAGAGTAACACCCGGCAGGAAGAAGATGAACACATTTAGCTTTTAATAGCAGTACTGAGTTCAGCAGCAGTTCCTCTCCCTGAAAACTTTACCCTCTTCATAGTGGCTGGAACACTTATGGGGCATTGGTAGGTTTGGCTTTGATTCCCTTCTTTTTCACAGAGGACTCAAACCCACATTTTTTACCAAAATAGCTCATTCACTAGGTACAAGCTAGAATCGACAGGCTGCTGTGGTGGGAAGAAGGCAAGGCTTTGGGGTCCAGAGGGAGTGTGAGCACAAGTTCCTGTACAGATGCTGCATGCTCACAGCAGTTTTGGCCCTCACCTCCTCTTTCCCTCTGCTGTCTCGGAACACAAGCAGAGCTCACAGAGACTGAAGTGTGAGGGACCTTCGTGAGCAGAGGAAGGAAGCAGCCCTGGAAATATTGATATGCTCTGCTGCAGCTGGCAGCTGAGCTCTTTCCATCCAGCCCCATGGCATTGGATTAATCCTTACCCCAAAGGCAGCGTACTCCATCCACTCCATTTCTCAAATCACAGCGTGGCACAGAGCTTGTCCTTGGGAGTCTTCCATCCAGATAACAAGCAGGTCCAATTCTGCTTAAACTGATAAAATTTGACAGAATCACAGGCAGTATATCTGCAAGTATTTTCTCTAGCTTAACCATCCCCCATCAAGGGAAGTCATTCTCCCCCTCTACTCTGCACTGGTGAGGCCACAACTGGAATACTGCATCCAGTTCTGGGCTCCCCAGTTCAAGAGGGACAGGGAACTACTGGAAAGAGTCCAGCGAAGGGCGATGAAGATGGTTCAAGGATTGGAGCATCTCCCTTATGAAGAAAGGCTGAGAGAGCTGGGACTCTTTAGTCTGGAGAAGAGAAGGCTGAGGGAAGACCTTATCAATGCCTATAAGTACCTAAAGGGTGGTTTGAAGGAGGAGGGAGCCAGACTTTTTTCAGCGGTTGCCAGTGAGAGGACGAGGGGTAACGGGCACAAGTTGGAACATAAGAGGTTCCACTCAAATACGAGAAAAAACTTCTTCACAGTGAGGGTGCCAGAGCCCTGGAACAGGCTGCCCAGGGAGGTTGTGGAGTGCCCTTCTCTGGAGATTTTCAAGACCCGCCTGGATGCAGTCCTGAGTAACAGGCTCTAGCTCTAGGCAATCCTGCTTCAGCAGGGGAGTTGGACTAGATGATCTCTGTGGTCCCTTCCAACTCTAAAAATTCAGTAAAAATTCAGTGAAATTCATCCAATGTCTTGACTTGCTCTGCGTACTTTGTTTGCAGACTAACATCGAGATGCAGGAAAAACACTGATGGCGTGATCCAGATTTGTTCTCCTAGCTCTCTGTGAGCAAGAGAGGGAGAAAGAATAATAGTTACCCTAGGAGTTGTCCTTCAGCATCTCAGGCTTTTGACTGTGGCAACTCTAAAAACAGACTATTCAAGCGGCAACTGAAGAGGGGGAAAAAATAGTGCACAAGTCTGATTCATTCTCACCCTGGATAAAATAGCAATGTTCTGTTGTTGTTATTGTTGTTATTTTTAAAACAGGTAAAAATAACAGCACTTTCATCTACGTGGTGATCTGTGGGTGTTTGCATTCACTGCGTGTGAAACAAAACACGGCCTCCTAGGCCAGAAAGCGGTCTGCTGTTTGTCTCTCTCCAAATGTTTTCATCCTTCACATTGAACGGGGGCATGACATTGACAAGTGTTCACTGACTCTTTTATTGCAAAAGTCACCAGCGTTTTTGTCTGCGTTATTCGGGGAATAATATAGATGACTTGCCCTGTTCTGTAACTCAGGATGAAAAAAAGCCAGATGAAATACTTTGCATGAAATTTGATTACATTATTTGATTAATATTACTCGGTAAGCTTCATGACTTACGATCAAGACTTGGCGTGGCAGAAAAGCACTCTGGAAAAGAGCTGGGACCCAGAACTCAATGGAAATGCCTCTTTGGAGAGGCACTGGTGTGTGAAGGGCCTAAAATTAGAAAACTTCAAGAAACCTCATTTTATTTAGAGAAGTTAAAAAAAAAATACTCATGTTTGACTGTATAGATGTATTTCAGATTATAAACATATCATCTGCTACGGTGGATGAAGACTACAAGTTCCTGAGTGCAGGAGCTACATCTTTGGTGGGGGGTATCCAGGGTTCAAAACTCCTTGGCCACTTGCTGAAAAAAAGAAATGCCGCTATTCTATATATAATTGCATGTAATCATTTGTGTTTCATTCCTTCTATGAGAAGAGCTGGTCGGATGCTAAAAATATACTTGCAACAAGCTCAGCTGTGAATCAGGTAGGAATATTTATCTTTCCCTCTGACAGAGGAAAACAAACCCAAATGGCAGTATCTGGTGAAGCTTTCTCTTTCCAGAGGGTGTTTACATAGGCCTTCATGCTGTCAAAAAGCACGATGAACAATAAGCCCCTTGGGAGTATAAGGACAACAGAGAAAATGAAGTGAAAGCCTTGGTGCTTGCCACCCCATCCCACAGGAAATTCTCAACAACGCTTTTAAAGTAATTTTAACAAAATTCAGTCCCATTCAGTGCAATTACTGTCAGGATGTCAAAGAAAAGAATTTAATAATGTATTGGTAGCAAAGATAGCTTTCTGTATTCCCCCTTTTTCAGTCTTCGTGGCAGCGTATTCATACCTTCCACTGCCATTTTGTAATTAAAAGCAGATCAGGAGTTTGAAAGACACAAAAAATCCCCCCTGAGGTTTTGAGCAGAGTTTATATTTTTTTTTCCATGATCTCTTTCCCTAGCAGAGTAAGGTGGTGCCATATGACCCAGTTGCTCAGGGTGCTATGGGATTCCTGCCTTGGTACCCGCTACTTTGACATGTTGGCTTTGATAACTTCCATCCTATTAATTTTAAGTGCCAGTAGTCTGGCTGCTGATGCAATATTTATGACAGATCCTGCACTACAGAACGAAGTCTCCTTTTGAAGTGCAAAGCTGGTTTGTCTTTCTATTTTATGTCAGATTTCAAAATTACCTTTGGGCGTTCTCTCTTGGAGTACTCTGCTGTAAACAAACTAAACATTGTTTTAGTGAAGACAATAGACTGAATTCCTCTTTTACAGAGGCAACCGCGTTGAATTCAGTGACGTTGTGACTGATAGAAGAATCCGGCTCAATAAATAATATTTTGATAACAAAGCCTTTGAAATGTGTATCGACGTGATGATAAACCCAAATCTCTGCAACCTTTCCAGCTCCCCTCTGACTCTTGCATGGGGCTAGAAAGTGGGCTTGTGGGATTGGTCGTTCAGGAGTGATTTTTTTGTGGTCCTGTTCTGATTAAAAATAAGATGCCCGAGACAGCAGCAAACCACTGCTGCTTTGCAGCTGCTTGCTGGTAAAACCTTCCTTCTCATCCCTCCTCCCCCAGACAAGAAGTAAAGTGTGTAATGCAAAAACTTCAATTTTGCTGTCTGATGCCTGCAGTGGCACTGAATAAGCTTCTTTCAGAAGTGTGCTGAGCTGACAGCTGATGCCTGGGGTAGCTCCCTCAGTGGAGAAGGCTTGTGTTGCTTTGGTGGAGTCACTGGCTGGAGCTGGAATTGCCAAAGTGGTCTAGGCAAAGCCAGAGGCAAATCAGCCCTGTAACAGCCAAACAAACTCACAAACAAACCATCCCATGGAGAAGGCGTGTTTTCAAATACAAGGAGCACCAGCTGTATGCTGCTAGCTTCACAAGCTGACAAGGCATAAACACACGCTGATTCTCCACGTTGTGGTAATGCAGCTTGATCTTTCTTGAGTGTCTTCATTATTCATAGATTTGACTAACTTGTACCATAGCTAAACACTCTCAGCATCAAGGAAGTAACCCCTCGGGAAAAGGTAAAATTTTTTCTTTCTTTAGTGTTTAATCACTGAGGGTATTTTGAAGTTTTTCATCAATGAATGCTAAAAATTTGCTTACGGGAAAAAAAATAAATAAATTCAAGGACCTGTGACAGTGAGGAACAAGATCAGATTTACTGCAAGGAGGGAAACTGAAGGTCTCCAGCAGCTGTGTCTCTTCTCCCCACCTCAACCCCACGCAGTGTGTCACGTGCTGCTGGCATAAGGGAGTGCTTGCCCAGCCCTTCCAGTCACAAAGAGCTGTGTCCTGCTCTAGGAACCCACCAAGAAGTGCAAGCCACATGCAAAACTAGGAGGACCTTTGAGTCCACAGGGACCGGCACGTGTACGTGATGTTCAGTGCTCTGGATCTTCCCATTGACTTCAGCAAGGACTTCAATTGCTTTGCGTATCGTAGCTGGTAACTTGCATTCTCTCTCACAGTATGCAAAAACATGCAAAAAAAAGCCACTGACTAAAATAAACAAGGTGGTATGTTTGCTCTTATTTGTTAAACCATTTATAATATAGTGCATGAAACTCAGGGTTTCCTAACACTTTTGGGTGCAATGATGCTGTTTTTTCCGTTTCAATGAATTAATTTTAACATTCAAACAAAGCAGCAACTCGGGTAAGCCTCTCTTAGTGAAAAATAATAAAGTTTGAATCAGACAGAACTGACATAATAAAGCACTTAGGAAGTTTGGGGAAATCTGTCCTGTCTGCGGGATGGGCCTAAGGAAAATGTGTAACTGGATTGTACCACTGCACTTTTTGGTCAAAAAGAAATAGTGGGTAATGTGGTACACTGTTACAGTCACCTGAAGTATTCACTGAATAATCCTTCTGTCCTGAGACACAGGCTCTACTTGCAGTTCTGCCGTCCTGCTGGTGGATACCTGCCATCTCTCAGCCCTACTGCCAGCCTGCTGCAGGGGATGGGGCTGCCTGGGGGTCCTACCCGCTGCCCACCCCATTTTGGTTTGATTTCATATGGCTTTTGCTTTGCTTTTCAAAGGCTGGTTTGGGTGGAATCTTCTCGTTAGGTTATATCAAGGAGTAAAAACCTGTTGTCCTTGTTCCCGGTATCACGCTGGAGAAAAAAAAAAAAGCTTTCATATTGACATGGGTTGACAAAAATGTGGTGCATATGGACTATTAGATCAGTTACCACTTACAGGCAAATCTGCTGAGAATGGACATATGGGTAAACAACTTTAATTAACCAGGTCTGATTGCACTCTATACTGATGCTATATTTAATATTTTTTTCTCCTCTGCTAGCTTTAAAATGCCCTGTAATATTTACCTTTAGTTGGTTTTATTTTAAACCGTGAATCGTTTTTAATATCTTTTCTTGTGTTTATTTTTAGCCCTCCTGTCACTCATTTATTATTCTAATTGCCTGTGTGTCTTTTCTCCTCAGCTTACAGCTTTCATCTGTCCACTCCCTTACCTTCATTTTTAAAGTCTTACCTCTTCTTAGCTAATGTTTAATGTACTGAGAACTTCCAAATGGTCTTGCTCCTTGCTTTGAGATGTTGTACTGAGCATTGCAGTGCGTGTCCTGAAGATCCATGTGCTGCTCTTGATTTCGGTTTAGGTTTTGTTTGCTTTGGTTTTTTTCTCTTTCCCATACTGTTTGGGGGTTTTTTGGCACTCTCCTGTTAAATTCCCATCCCTAATGCCTTTCTAGAGCGTATAATCCCACTGTCTGTGAAAACCTCCACCTGCAAACAATAAGGATGTGAGATGTGAAGAAATAAGCCCTTTTTGGCAGTAGGGGGAAGCAGAAGTGGATTGATCCAGATCCTTCTGGCAGGGCACATCCTCCTAGTGCCCAGTCATCTGTCGGGTTGCCCAATGAGGGAAGCTCCTTTTGGAGGACACAAGGCGATGGGTCTACAGCACTGTCGTGACATGTGGAGTCTCCTGTGGATGAAGAGAGGGATACTGTGGGTGCCAGCTGGGCTCATGGGGTGTACGTCCCAGAGTAGGTGCTTGCCCTCGGAACAGGAGCAGGACTGGAGAGTGGGCTCTTTGTCGGCTGGGTCTTGGTCAAAACACCACCCAATGTGGTTACATTTCTGCCGTGGTATTTGAAATTAGCTGTCACTTTAAACGTGTTGGTTTCCTCAAGTTAACACACTGGGTTATTGCCAGAGGAGGAGCCATAATCCCTTCCTCCTGTCTCTCAGGCTGGTGATTTATTGACTGAGTTATGTTGCTTCTCTGAGAAGAGGACTGGTGCAGAAGGCAGTCTTCTCAAGAAGTGTTTGGCTGGATGCTCTAGGAAAGTCTGGATATCATCCCTGAATACCTGAAATTTGTAAAATGCTCTCCTTTGGCAGATTTATATAGTATATTTCCCCTATTTCTTTTCACATGTGAAGCAAGGAAAATCTGCAATAAATGCTCACTGAAGTGTAGAAACATCTGTTTGGAGAAGGTCCTTGTGGGGTGTTAGCAATGAAGCGAATGTCATCCTACCTGCAAGTACTCTTCTGCCTAAGGTTTATTTGAAACACAGCATGGGCATAAAATAAAACGGAGAGGAACATTTTAAAAAAGACTTGGAGTTGGTCACGGCTATTTTCCTTTCTTTCCCAGATTCTTTCTTGTGGAAGTACTTTGTTTGGTTTGGTTGGTTTACTTGTCTTATTTTATTAAGCCTTATATCTTCATCTGTAATAGAGGCATCCTTCATTACTGCCTTTGCCTTGCAAAGGCAAAATACCATGGATGTCACTGACTTCCCATAATTATAGCTGATGGCTTTATTACCCAGATTTTTCTGAAGTGTGCAGGAGAAGCATCGCTGCTCATCTGAGCTATTGATATCCTGGCATGCTGATTGTTAGAAATATTTTATGTCTGGGTAGAGGAAAAATTCTTGTGATAAAGACACAGCCAACTGCTAGAAGTCACGGACAAGTTGTGTAGCAACCTAAATTATTTTTTTCATAGTATACCTAATGCTTAGTCTGTACAGTTTTGGGTTTTGGGGTGGTTTTGTGGGTGGGGGGGTGATCTCTGGGATATTTTTCTTAGGTAGAGCATGGCTTAGGAAAGTGCAACCATATTCTTAAGTGATGAAAGGGCACATGTAAAGTGAACAGTGTACTGACGTACATATCAGAAGAAAAGTCAGTCATCTTATAGAAGGAGACCACTTTCATTTTATCCCCTCTTCCCCAAAACTGGTCCAGTAGTTCTGTGGCGCCGGGCAGGGTGGTATGGTGGAGAAAATACTAATGAGACACTCAGAAAATCTGTGTGGCTTCTTCTCTCGGCTTTGTTACTGGCCTCCTGGATGGCATTGGGCAAGTCATTGTAGTCCCTTAACCTCAGCTTTCATCTCTAGCATATGAAAAGTACCAGTGCTGACCATCTCTATGAGGAGTTTGGATGCTTCATCCCCAGGGAAAGTTGATTCTGCTCTTCCTTGTAGACAATAGCAGAGGAGGGTTTATTCTTCATCCATGGCCAGAAAAGAGCCTTTGGTTGTGAAGAGTAATAAGAAAATGACCTCCAGTTCCAAAAACGTATCTTTGAAATGTTTCCAGTGTATAAGATTTCTGCAAACTTAAGTATATGTGAAATTTGAAGAACCTGATTAATTACAGGATGTACTGACAAGTGTTTATAGAGTCATTTTGTGCCTGAAGAATAGGTGTGAAACTGTGAAATCTCTGGTAATTTTGGAGAGAAGACAATGCATGGGGCATTCTGTTCTGATTGTGGAACTGTGTGTGCTACTTTCATGATACGTGTTATTATATATGAATCTTGTAAATGCACTGGAGAGTGATGGGAAGCTGCTTCATTATTTTGGAGACTCACTCAAAATATTTTATTTCTTTCAGAGACTTGAAGATAGAAAATCTGTTGCTAGATGAAGACAACAATATCAAGCTTATTGGTATGAAACCACTTTGGCAATTCCAGTAATTAAAATGGGTAGTTTTATAAAGAGAGTTTTTGAGACATCATAATCCTTCATGTGACAACTGCTAATGTTGCTGCAGAGAGGAGCTGAGAGAGTATAGATAGCAATCAAGCTGTTCCTGACAGCATCTTGTGAAAAAAATGTTCCAAATAATTCAGCTTTAACTGGGTATGGGAATAATCTTTCATCTTTTAACCAACAGTTTTCATATTCAAACCAAGAACTTTGTAATGAATTAAAGAATTGACACCACAGAAGTAATTTATTTTATTATCTTGATAATTTCATATTTACTAAGGGTTGGATTCTGCCCCCATATGCATATGCTTCCGCTGAAGTCAGTGGGAGTTGCACACATTTTTAGCAGCTGGCAAAATTTGGTCCTATATTTATATTCGTTAAATTAGCTTCTAGCACCCAATACAAATTTCTTTTAGAGGGTGCTGTTAAGAAATAAAAAAGATAAACGATAAGAGTCTTGATTGTATTTGGGTATCAGTTGTACAGAGCACTCAATTAATTCAAGTTATATGGACATTTTAGATTAATCATCAGTGGGTATAATCCCTCACTGCCTTTGCATAATTCCCATTAACGTTAATGCGGGCACTGAAAAGAAAATATGCCCCTAAAAAAATGCCAAACATCTGTTTATATTTATCTCCATCCCTACACTTTTGCCAACAGTGGTGTCTGTGGTTGCAGACTTAAAAACTTGATTACTTTCTTTCTTCAAAAGGTCTCATGATCTGAAAAGTGATGAAAAACACTTAACATTCAGGTCAAATAGACACTTACTGTAACATCTAAAGCACATGCATCTCCAAACAAACAGGAGAAGAATGGTTAATGAAATCTGAAATAGTCAAACTTAGGGAGTTCAGTCTTTGGAAATATTAGCACAAGTTCTAGTCATTACTCTGTAGCAATTCAACTGACTCTGGGAAAATAATAGCAAAAGAGAACTCTGCATTACCTCAGTTACGGGTCAAGAGGATACCGATATGTTACCATGAATCATTCATCAGTAATGATGGATACCACCCATTATCTTGATTTAGCAGATAAGTGAGACCAGATGGTTTGCAACAGTGCTATATGAACATCTGATAGATTTAAAGAGTTTCTATAACTTTCCCGTTATTGGGTGTTTGATTACACAACAGTATGTGAACTTGACATCCAAGCCCAGACCTGATCAGATGATACATGTAGAATTAAAACTCACATGCCAAAAAATTACTTCAGAACTGTTCCTGCACTTTCATTTGCTTCGGTTGCATGGAAAGGTCTCCTCGCAGTGGGTGGTGTGGGAAGAATAGAGAAAAGAGACAGTTTGATCTTCCGTAGCCTCACTAGCATTGAAATAAATTGTCCTCAGGTCTGCAGCCTGATGTTTTAAGCAGAGCAGATTGTACACAGTATGTATTTTAAAACAAAGCAATTAAATCCCACCATCCAACTGGGTATGTTATAGAAAAATAAACGTTGTTTTATTAGTAATAATTTTGCTGTAAGTAAAAACAGATTTAAGATCACAGTCGGCTCATGCTGTATCTTGCTAGCGACGCTGGTGATCTCTGGTTGTTCACCCTGAAGAAGCAGTGCCTCCATTCTTCATGCTTTATGGGCTGTGCTTGCAGGGAAAGCTGGCGTGGGAGCTGCCGAAATCAGCCTCAGGTCCCTGGGCAACCTCAGCCTCTCCTCACTAGTACCTCTTTTCCAGGTGGTAGCAGAAGTAGTGCTTGAGCTGCCACACAGCTTTCCATTTCCATCAGGGTTTCCCAGAACAAGGAAAATGTTCCATCACCCGTCTGTGGCTGGTGGAATAGACCAGATAATTTATAGACCAGATAATGTACTCCTCTTCCTCCTTCCTGCCTGTTCCCTCACTTGGCTCCTTCAGCGCTTAGTACAATATTTTATGTAGTCTGTCTTTCTAGAAATGTGATGGATCAGTCGTACCATCACGTACTCCTGCCCAGGAAGGTTATTCAGGAGTGAAGAGCATGTTTTGAGGAATTACGTGCTGCTTTTTATGCTTGGGGCAAGAGACTTTAACTGCAAAACCAGTGCACATTAACTGCTTTGGGATGGGAGCTTGGTCTCACTGCCTTGTGCAGCAGCAAACTCACTAGTACCGAAGAAAAACATTGCTCTTGTAATAACTGTGAAAGGAAGAAAACCCACCATCAAGGAAAAAGAAAAGGTGAAATGAAGATTAAAAATGTACCAGGAAGAGACATTGAAAGTCACTGCTTGTTCATGCATTTCAATGAGAACTGAATCCCTTGAGTCTCTTTCTTCACCCAGCTGCTTAATGGCACCTTGCTTTTGTTACTCTTTTTAGCTGCGTGACAGGGTGGTTTATAATATGTTCTTAGATAACATTATTAGAAAAATTTACTTTGCTGTGTTAAGTCTCAAACCTAAGAACATTAGGGTTTGAAACACTGGAAATAATTCACTTCTCTTCATCTACCAGCCCATGGTGGTAGGTGTCTGACAAACACGCTTTGAAAAGCTACTCACTGGCCATGCAAAGCCCTTGGCATCCTGCTCGAGGACCTATGGCACCAAAGCCTGGCACCCTGCTACCAGGGTTGGCCAGCTTTGCTGGTCCAAATTGTCCACGAGGCTGGTGCTGAGGCTTCTGTTATTTAGTAACTCTTCCCATATTCCAACTGTCACAGCTTCAGAGATAGCCATATATCCATAGCTTAACGTTGGTTTCCTGGAGGCGTTAAAGAGTAGTAGTGTAATGCGATACTTCGATAGTACGAACAGTGGGGGTGGTGGAGTTTCCGTGTCATAATATTTACTTTGGAAAACCAAGTGTGGCCTTTGATCTGAGTTCTGTAATTAGCTCAGCTTATTGAAAGGAAGCCCAAGACAGAGGCAGGAATGGCAGTGAAATTGTCGGTGCTGGTGGTAATGCCATTCGTATCCAGATCAGCAGTACATCCTTCGTAAAAATCGCTCTGTGATCGCAATGTGCTGCTGCAGTGTTAGTAACAATATTTCCGTTTCTTTTGCGATAAAATCCCTGTCCCCGATATGCATGTGTTTGCACGCAGTCTGCATTTCAACAGGCGTTAGGAAAAAAAGAGTATACCACCCTAGATTAAATGAATGAGCTGAAACATCAATCAGATGTTTATAGTTTAAGCAAAATAAGATAATTAAAACCTCCACTAGAGTATACCTCCATTGCTAATGACAAGAGGGTGCTGATTTCTGCCATCGCAGAATATAGCCCTTTTATATTTGGATTGTAAAGCATTATATTACAGTCAAGTAGTTTTGCGGTGGTATGGCACAGTAGGGCAAACGCCATGAGTAATAATGTGTGGAGATATTATTTCTAGGAGTTTAAAAAAGCATTTTACAGTTGACATAACTCATCTTGGGCCGTAGCTAATAAATACATTAATTAAGTAAATGGATCCTCGGAAGTATTTGTATAAGCCCCAGGGGTAATACATATCTAGCAGAGATGATTAAGCAGCATCCAGAGACAATTGTTTTCTATCAGAGGCAAGGAAATTGTCCTGATCCTCCCTTCACTTTTAACAATGTTCTCCAGCAAAACCCCTTTGAGCCTCTTTGGATGTCAAATGTGGTGATTCTTGTCTCGCTTGTGCTTGTCTCACTCTCAGAGATGCAGCCAGTCGAGTGGAAAGCACTGTGCAGTCATTCGGGCACTCCGGCTCACATAGTTATCTTTATAATTGCATTTTTTTGTAAGCATTATTATTTTTTTGTCTGCTTTTGTAAGGGAACAGAGCTTATGTGGGCGCCGTGTCAGGGAGCCTGTAATACCTTGAGGAATCTGGTGTCAGCCAAATTTAACGTGGAGTAAAAGCTAAAGGACAGGCCATTACTTCAAGTCATATGCAAATAAGTAGGCAGATAAGGGAGAGAGACACAAATTAATGACTCTGTGGAGAGAGAGTATTGCATGGGCTCAACAGTTGCCTGCTATATTTGGCCTGCGAGATGTGATGCTTTTAGCCCATCCAGGCAGGTGGGTAGCACATCCAGAAATACTCTGTTTTACAAGATGCATGGATGCCAGACACAAGCCTATAGGAAGAGGATTCAATGGTCTGCTTCTCCCGACTGCCTCGTTTATGTATAAGACGGTTTTCATTTTAGACACGCATGGATTCTGGGAATTTTTAAGAAGACTGGATAAAAAAAAAAAAAAAAAAGAAAGAAACCAGATGTCAGTGTTCTTAATAGCAGTATTTTTGTTGTTGCAGTTGTCATCAATAACAAGTTATTAATAAATACAAGCATCTTTGATTGCGACCTCCCTAGATCCGCTGCTCCTGCGTGTCTTGCCCTGCAGCAAAGGCCGTTCTCCCAGCCTGTCAGCTTTGCCCATGTCATCTTTCTCCTGGCAGGCTCGTCTTGCTTCTTCCCCTTTTACCACATCAAGTTGTTGGGCTTCACTTTCAAGACCCTCTGCAACCCCTCCTTGCCTTCTCTTGCCGTCTCTCAGCCTGTGGTTTCATAATCACTTTCTCCCAAGCCAAGCATGGGTTATCACCAGACACTGTGGGCTTGCACGTTGCCCTCGGCCACTTCTGCCACTAGTGCAGCTCTGCCTTTCTTCCCTTGCTCAGTGGTTTGATTTTTAAGATCCTTTCTTAAACCCGGCTCACCCTGCAGCCATACCAGCACTGGAGCAGACGGCGGAGATTTTGGGAACACCCTTCCCGGCGCCAGCCTGGGCTTGGGTTGGCTGAGAGCACTTGGGAAACTGCAGCCTCCTTCGGTGTGAAGAGGCTGCCTCTCGTCTCCGATCAGCTCGTGGTGCCAGCCTTTGCCAGTCCCTTGTTATTATTGCCAGCAAAAGACTGTCAGATACACCCAGGGGCCAGAAATACAATAACGCAAGGCAGAAGTCAGGGAAGGGGGGGAGCCAAATCAACACATTCCCCTTCTTGCTCCAAGATCTGTGTTATTTCAGAGCTGCAATACTGAGGCTGCAACCCTGTGCATTTGTGCATGGCCACAGCAGTCCCAGAAAGCAACCCCCCCTGCCCACCCTGCCTTACATCTGATAGCTCATTTACATGATTTAGAGGAAAATGTTGACAAAGTCCCACTTAAACTTGACCTCTTGCAGTGGTATGGAATCCATGACAGCCCAAGGTGGCTCTCTGCCCCACGCACATCACCTAGTGCCTGGGACAAGCTCAGCTCCGGTTGTTGCTATCCGATTCCCAGTGAAATGCAGTCGCTTTGTGCATGAAACTGATAATCATGCACGTTCTAAGACTTTTTTTTTATTGCTTGTGGAAATCTGGTTATTTAGCACCTCAGAGAAACAAATTGAATACAATTTTTGCATGTGGATGATTTTTTTTCTTAGGCAGTTCATCGCTTAGCTTTTGGAAAAAAGTGTGCTTTTTTTTCTTGTGTTCTACTGTATCTGTCTCTTTCATAACTCTGTCTCCGTGCCTTTCACAGACTTTGGATTGAGCAACTGTGCAGGCATCTTGGGTTATTCTGATCCATTCAGCACCCAGTGTGGGAGCCCAGCATATGCAGCCCCTGAACTTCTGGCAAGGAAGAAATACGGGCCCAAAATAGACGTTTGGTCCATGTGAGTTACTTCTCTACTTGATAATTGTTATTACTGTCATCGTTACCCATTAGTCAAATGACAGACATTATTCATGTATTTGGCTACTTTGAGCAAGAAAATCTGTTTAATTAGTGCAATTCTGTGAACTCAATTGTGCAGACATATTGTTTTGAAGTAGCTCTTTGCATACCAGTATATAGATTGCTAGAACATATAGCATGGGGAGATTGCAGTAAAGCACAGCTGTTGGTCAGTGATGTTCAAAGTAGAAGACATGACACAAGAGGACCAACAGCTTTGTTAGTTTTCCCTGAAGGATCCTCAAGCTCTGTGGGCTCTGTGCACTAGCGACACTCAAGTCCAACAAGAAATATGAAATCAAGTCAGGTCATCAGTTCAAAAGCACCACTTTGAAAGCACAGTTGTTAAAGAGGAAAGAAAAATGGCCACAAAACTTGTGGACTTTTGTGAGCTTACTGGTGTTTGGGCAAAAAAACAGACAGAAGGTCCCCAGTGCCAGAGGTAGAGGAAGCCAGAAAGGTGGTTTGAAGTCAATGACTTTGTCTGCAGTACTTAGGCTTTAGACTGTGCAACTCCTACTACCCTCCTGTTGACCATGTACATGGTGTCAGTTATCCTTGTCAGTCTTGGAGAGGAATTAGTTGAGGTCAGTTGAGTTTTAGCTTTTTCTTTAGTATCAATAGATTTTCCCTCACCAAGTGGGGGTAGTAACACTTGTATAAATTTAAATGAAATAACAGAATTATGGTAATCCCTAAGTTGAAGTATTTGCAATGCTTGGAAAATATAATGTAGTGTATAAGTACTACTGCTAAGAAAGATTGCCCATAATTTATATGTAAGACTACGACCTGGGTCAAATTAATCTCTATTTGACCCAGTTGGTCCCTTGTTGCACCTCAACGCTCTTGCCCTGCTGAAGCCTAATTTGCAGTCTGTCCTCTGAGGAGACCCACAGCTAAATCGTATGGCTACCAAATTTCTCACTCCGACAGTGGGCCATCCTCCACATCAAGAGAGAGGAATGTAGGCAAACAGAGCACAGTCATTCTTGTAAACCATTTAAACTTCTCCAGTAACAATGTCATGCTCTTTCTTTTAATCAAAGAAAGAAAATTATGTTTAACTCTTCCCCTTCCTTATAGCTGAACAAATGATAGCACACCAGTTTAGTTTCCCTCTGTTTACATATGTTTATTCAGAGACTGAGGAAACAAATTCCCAAAAGGGAAGAATTCCACGCAAATTAAATTTAAAGCCCTTTTAAGACGAAAAAGAACAAGAGTGCCCAACCCACTTTTCACTGCTGACTTTACTGGGCATAAATAAGCAGTAATTTTTCTGCTCTGAAAAATGTAATTGTTTACACCTGATCTTTGGGTTGCACCAGAGGCCATGGAGGTCAGTGGAAACCTTTGGGCACTGAACCAGGACTTGTGATGTCCCCATTGGTGTGGGAAGTCATTCCACATCCAGGGCAGGACTGGGACAAGGCCCCTGAAAGCAGCATGTTTGTGCAGCCTGAGGAGAGACTTAATTGTGGTGTGGCATCTAGCCGAGGAGTTGTGTAAGAGCTGGGCTCAGTTCTGTGGCTTCCAGCTTATGTCCCTACACATTGTGTGACCCTCCATGAGCAAACCTCTGGGAATTCTTGCCCAAATCATTGTATGCAACAGAAGAGAGAGCTTTTTGTTGGTCTTTTTTAATAGTTGTCAGACATTGACGATGAAGTACAGTTACAAAAACCTAAGCCTACTTTTTCCCTTGTTTCTGATTATTTTGGTTTTTTTTTCTCTCTGTTTTGTTTTAGTGGAGTGAACATGTACGCAATGTTGACTGGAACATTACCTTTTACTGTGGAGCCATTCAGCTTGAGAGCTTTATACCAGAAAATGGTGGACAAAGAAATGAACCCTTTTCCTACACAGCTCTCTACAGGTAATCAAGGGGATATGCTGGGATCTGTTTAGATCCAGTTGGTCAGAACCATTGCATTAAATTCTGGATTGTGAGTCATGCTGCCAACATGGCATGCTAATTGTGAAAAATACTCTTTTCTTTTCATTTTAGTCTCCAAAAGATCTGCAGGTGTTGCTGTAGTATAATTCCTTTTGCTTTGACTTCCATATGTAAGCTGGAGAAGTACCAAGTTGTGCTGAATACGAGAGGAACAAATCTGTGAAAAACTGAAATTGCTTTTTTTGTTGGTCAGTTTTGCATGTTCAGAAGATTGTAGCGTAGGGTATGGATGCATGAACACATTATTTTTGAGTAACAAATTCCTGGGCATTATCATGACTAGGGTTGAGTAATAAGCTACCTTGAATGACCTCACATTTATTATACAATAATGACACAGAAAGTTATTTTGGGACAGTGACCTGTGATAACCTTTGTGTATTCACAAAATGCAAAAATTGTTAATGTATTAGTATTAGAAATACTAATTCCTGCTTCAAAGCCATGTCACTAGGCAACAGAACAATTTTTCAGCTTATAGCAAGACTGTTGTCAGCATTTGGAACAAACTCTGTTTTGTAGTTGAGTTTTATTTTTGTATGCTAAATTTGTTTCTTATGGAGAGCTTCTGTTCTCCTTATCTGGTAGCCTGTTTACAGGGGACATTCAATAAAATTAAAAGATTGCAAATAGAAAAAGGGTATCAGAGCATGCATTTTCACTCAGTACACTAAGGATGGCAACCGTTGTCTTGGGGGATAGGAGAAAGCCCTCGGAAGTTGTGTCACAAGATGAATTCTCCAAGTAGAGATTTACCTGCATACAGAAAAAGTAGGTAGTTGAGGGTTTTCTCACACAGGTTAGCTGTGGATCAAGCAGGGTGTGTTGTTCCTTGTTCATTCAACATCTGCATGAAGTATGCTTTTCCTGCCAGCAGTTCGTACTGCTGGCATGTTGTAAAGTGGTAGGTTTACAAGTGAGCTGGGATGCTGCAGGTCTTGCCGTCTATTTGATGCAATTAGAGTGTTTGGTATTTCCATTCTGGAGACTTCCCATTAGGATTCAGTTGCACAAAATGACTATTTTAATGTTCTAGCACATGCTGTAAAGGCCCGTTGAGTAAATTAAAAGAAAGATTATACTGACTACTTCATGCTGTACTGATGTAGATGCCAAATCCTGCATCAATTGCAAAGTTCCTCTTGAATTCAGGGACTCGCATGTCATAGTAAACATTTTCCAAGTTTGGCAAAAAATTTACCAAACTTATCTCCCAGACTGAGGCTTTTACCAATAAAGAGAGTTATATGGTGGCTGTGTAGTGTCCTTGAACCGAAAGACTGTTACCCTAATCATTGTTTTCTTTCAATAATCTTTAAGTGGGAAGTTTCACTGATTTCACTGGGGCAACTCATGTATTAACGGCTGAATGACCCACAAAAGGCATGTAGAAGACGAGACCTTCGGTAGCAAAAAAGATAACATTACTTTTGACAGGTTTCATTTTACCATTTCATTCATCCTACCATTTTATAATGGAGATCAAATTGTCTCACAAATGCGTCTCTGTAGCATTTTTAGCTCACTGACACTATGGTCTCCAGTGAAAACGGTGTTTTGTTTATCCTGTGAGAACTGTAGCAGGTTGAATTTTCAGAGATGATGGCAAATTAATGGAATAAATTTAAGCGTGTTAACCTTTACTCACTGTGAACAAAGCTACGCATCAGTTCTTGATCTAAGTCAGTGGCCTTGCACATTCACTGACATGGCAAACTGTGATTTAAGATGACATTTGTTCTTTCCATAGTTAGACTTTGGGTCAGTAGGTAGAAACTCTGCTTCTCTGCTTTGCAAATTGTTGTGTTTGTTAACTTCTTAGGTTTAGGGATCTTTTTCTTTAATTGGGTTTTCTTTTTCTGTAAATTCATAGAGATGTTTTACAGGAGTCTGTTTTTCTTGTTCAGTAAGCTGTCTTTCAATATTTAATTTCGCAGTTACTGAACATACAGTCCCATCATAAAAGTAGCCAGTCTTATCACTAAGCAAGAGTGTATTTTGTTTGTATTAGTTAAAATGTTGGGTGGCCCTGAGCGTCCAAAGCAACTGTGTAGCAACAGGGAAAATTCGGAGTTAGTGTTTGATTTTCCCATTTAGGAAACCGTTTTTCATTAAGCTTCTTAAATAACACAGCTATTACTGATTTTAGGTGAGCAGAGTTCAGTTGTTCAGGAAGTTGGTATTCATGTTACACGGCGTTCCTTTTTTTATTCTCAATTTACCACTTCTGTGTGTTCATGGTCCTCCTTCTGGAGCAGAGAAATGAAGTGGAGGTGAGAAGAAAAGCCATCATCCGTCCATGCCTGTAGTTTGGAGAAAGGGTTTTATCGGGTGGAGCTCGCTCATGACTTGTGAAGTGACTTCATTGCATTTTCTCCAGCCGGTTTTGTAAGCAACACGTGTTCACCTCATTGTAACCAGGCACAGCCTCACAGTGTGAGAGAGACACTAAGTTGGTTTTGTTGATGACAAGGAGCAGGAAGGCAGCTGACGTCTTGTAATCCCCACTGAAGGCTGCTCTGTTTCTGGTCATTGCTGAGCTCAGTACGTCCAAGGGAAGTTAAGAGAGAAATGTAGTTTCTCAGGATGCTGGTCTCTCATTTGTCAAAAGAGCAAAGTTTGCCCCACAATTACACCATGGGAACAAAATTCCACTGAGTGCGGGTCACTGGCTAATCAGATTAATGCTGTCCTCGAGCTCGTCATAAACGAGGCCTCACGTAATGAGGCCCTGGCTGGCTGGTTCACAGTGCCCTTTCTTTGCCGGCCCACTTACTGCAGCAGGAAAAATGGCTTCAGGCGCAGTGGGTCCCAAAATTGAATGGGCACCTCCGTGTTTGCTTCCTGGGGGATTAACATTGCTGTCCCACGGCCACGGAGGTTAACTGGAAAGGGTTTCTTTCCTTCCTGTACCATCTGACAGCTCACATCGGCCAAGGTGCTGTTCCTCATCTCCTCTCTGTCACCCAGGTCTGGCCAACCAGGGAGCCTCCCTGGGCGAATGTCCTTTCCAGAATTATTTTTTCCCCGATATGAAGCTGTTGATCTCTGTGGTGCTTCACAAGCTTCATTTAATTAGTCTGCCATTTGCCAAAGGGGAAAAAGAAAAGTAAGATTTTTAAGGAGACATTAGCTGATTTGGGGACTAAGGGTGATGGTGATGGAGGGGGGTGGTGTTGGTTTGGGGACAGGTTATTTATTTTGCTCTGAACCTGTGGGGTGCATGTGGTTTCTAACACAGAGATGGGGGAATTACTGGAGAGAGAGGAGGTGAAATGGAAGAACAAAGGGTTTGTTTGCTGTAACAGAGGGTTCTGTGCCCAAGACGCATGATGGGGGGCACTCAGGGCACACGGGGAGCAAACATAGCATCAGCTTCCAGGACATTTATGAACTTGGACGGAGGCTTTTCCTGCTGCTTCCGCAATATTACTGTTGTAGGAAAACAACAAAAATGTTGGGAAAGATTTAGGTAAAGTATCTCTCATAAATCAGCGATTTCTGAAGAGAGAGCTTAGAAAAAAACCCAGCCAATGCCTAGCTGAACTGGTAAATACATAACCGTAACTCTCTCTCTTCCAAATATAAACTTTTTGATGGTAGGTCTGCATGAAATAGATAGTCTCTCAGGGCTCTCCCCAGTTGTTGCTTGATTTTTGCACGATGTTGAACACGGAGGTTACCCAAGCTGTTAGGAGTCAGCACCTATCGGGTCTAACCCTGATTTATTTGAGGAGAGACCCTCCTTCCCTCATCCTCTGCCCTGTCCCTGGCACTTCAGCCCAGCCACCCTGTCCTGTACTGTGGTGGGTGGAATGATGCGGCTAGGCTTGGGGAGATAAAAATGCTCAGGGGAATGGCCAGGAAAACATGAAGGAAGGCAGCAGTCTTGTCAAGGAGAACCTGTGACGGGCAGTGCTACTGTGCCTAGGTTAAAATGTATGCTCTTTTCAGATGAAGACAACGTGACCTCACTGGCAGGCATATTATTCTCCTTAAATTGCATGTGGGAACAGGGATTCAAGAGGGTTTCACTGTATTGCTGGTGAAGAGGCATCAGGGCCACTCTGCTTCCAAACAGGGAACAGCATGGTGGCCAGTGAGCCTGCTGTGGCGATGAGACCAGACGCCCACAAAGCCAAATGGGAGCTCTGGCTCATAATTTCGTAGTTTTCTAGCACTGAGGTATTAGTGCATCCAGTTTGATCTGCTTTGTAACACAAGGCTTTAAGGTGTTTGGTTTGCCTGCACTGAGCTGAAGTAGATGTGTTGGCAAGGGTGTACTGCAGCTTACCCAGAAGGTGCATCCCAGAGGACACCATCCTGTGCCACAGTGGTCCTGTGCTGCCACTGCTCAGGACACCTGTGCCAGTAAGGAGAGAGGTAGACACAATACGCTCCAGAGAGTGTAGGAGAGAAACTATAGCTCTGCTGTGGGAGAAGGTGGAAAATAGCCCCCAAGGTCTTGTCCATCTGACCTGCAAAAAACTGTGCTGCAAGCCTCTTGCTTCCCCTTGACTTCATTTAGGATTCATTTGGCATCATCTCACTTGACTGTATCTCCTCTACAAAATCATTCCCATCTTGGTTTTCCCAGAATTAGGTTTCTTTATCTTTCACACAGGGAATTGTAGAGGACATAGTTCACTCTTTACTATCTTGTAGCTGATAAACTGAATCTAGCCTTGATAATTTGAGGAATAAAGACCAGACCTATTTAAAACATGGTTTATTTTCAGCTCAGGTAGGCACTTCTTGTGAGTCTTTTAGGATATTACTTGACTTCAATGCTCTTTTAATTTGGCTAAAACCTCCTGCAGCTGACTGCAGGTTGGATAGAAGCCAAGGAGAGAATTGGTTCTTATAATGCCAAAGGGAGCCCAGTTCTCCATGTCTTCCCTCCCAGCTCTGCATCTCTCCCTTCCACTCACCCCCAGCCCATCCCTTTCTACTTTAAATACAGATTGAATGATTTGCCTCTGACCTGACTCCAGCCTCTTGTCTTTGTACAAAAATTAAGTTTTGGCTAACCTGCTCAGAAACTTCAAACAAGCTCTGAAACAAAAGGCACTTTTTCTTCTCTCCTTTATGACTCTATAAATCATTGTGACTATAAATCATTGTTTATTTTACTTACTAATCCCTTATCAGTTTTTCTTTTCTCAAGGACATTAGAGCATGCTGTAAGGAAAACGTTCATTTTTAGTATACTCTTGGTCAAGCTGCACACCTGTGGTAACTCAACTACTGTGTTAAGTCATAAAGCAGATGACATAGCTCTTGGGTTTTTTTCTTGATTTCTCCACAGCGGCCATAAACTTTCTACGATCTCTACTAGAGCCAGATCCTGCAAAGAGACCAAACATCCAACAGGCACTTGCAAATCGATGGCTTAATGAGAATTACCCTGGAAGAGCACCGCCTAATGTCACATACCCAAACAGGTACTGTGCGAAAGAGTGGAGAAAGCCTGCCAGGGTCTATATACATTATATATGTTAAACTGTGGTGTTTCAGTTCCATTTGTGCCAGCATCCCAGTGCATTTTCTGGGATTGCTTTTGTGACTCCATCCTAAAAGTTGGGATTGGGCCATTAAATATGTGTTGCTTGAAATGGTCAAAAACAATGCCTTAAATTAGAAGCTGGCATACAGAACATTATTTGCAGGGTGGCCTGAGGTGCAGATCATATGATTAATTGGCTCCAGACCAATGGGTATGTATGACAGGTAGTTTTTATCTTTTCCTTGTTTGTCAGTAAAAGCCAAGCTACTTTTCCAGTAGAGGTTATGCCTATTTGTGATACATACGTGAGGTTCTGTGGATTATGCAAAGATGTAGATGGTAGTGAGAAAGGACAGAGTTAAATGATCTTGCTTTGTTGGTTGTTGATCTCGAATACCCGTGCAATGGTGAATGCATGACTAAATGCAAATAGATAACAAATCTCATGGCCCATCAAACATCCATCTAGAGGAAAAAAAAAAAAGAAAAAGAAAGATACTTGTAGTCCACTTTGGTTAGAAATAATCTTGCGTGACTTTGAACATCTGCAGTATAGAGTCTACACATGAGCCAGTCAGCCTGGGTGCTCATTACAGTCAATAGAAAGAAATAAGGGCGCTTTTTACAGAATGATTCATCTGACTTCTTTTTGATTCTGCAATAGGATGACTTTGTGCCCAGGAGATCCAAGTTCCTCTCCAGTGACTGTAAATGGAGCCTTAGGCAACTAACTTAGAAATATACGTCTATATTTGATCAGATAAGACCTCTTTCCTCTATCAAAGCCCTCCAGCTGCGTCTCATACACCATCTAGTACCTGCAGAGGATTCACTGCAGGAGTTACTAGCTTGCAGGCTGAGATCCTAAGTAAGGCTGAGGCAAAGTCAGCAACTTAAAGCCTAATTTTGGTGCTTAAAATTTGGTGCTTAAAAAGGACCTTTCCCTTTGATGTTGCTGTCAGCTGGCTGATGGGATGCAGCCCATATTGTCCTGGCTCCTGCCTGGGTCACCTCCTTTTTCCCTCCGCGTTGACAGGGAACAGAGGTGTCTTCCTTGAGCAGCAAGCATTTCCCATCCAGAGTCTGTCTTAATGTTCAAGTAGCGCATTGCTGTGACTATGCCGTTCTTTGACCTGAGGAGAATAACCTGAGGGTCTTCCACTCTCAAAATACGGCTGGATGGATGCTGAGCAGCTTGGATGCCTCGGGGCATCACTAGAGCCATCCACTGAAACGGGGAGGGCATATGTGAGGCTGGCTGCCTGTAATCCTCAGACCTATGTGGACAGAATATAAAGTTGGCCCCTACAAACAATTGTTTCACAAGGAATAAGAATGAGAACATGCAGACCAATTATCTCAACATTACTGCCCCAAATTTAAGGGCAGTTGAGTTGATTTGCGTAGTATGCTGTCCAACAAAAGGAAATCTGAGTTTCCATGATGCATCGGACTGTACTGAAGTATGGCACGCATGAACATTGTATGGTAAAGAAAGGGAAAACAAGTGTAAACTGAATGAGTCATTAAGCTAATGAAATCACTGTCATAATGAGTCTAATCAATCTACATAACGTGGCATCTGTTAAGTGAATGTAAGTGTAACTGAGAGCTGTATGGATAATTTAATTCTTTTGTTCCGCGTGTCTTATCTGTAGAAAAGAGGAAAAAAGAAACGGGGTTTGAATGTGCTTTCACAATTTTTTTGCATTTGTAGGTACATTTTCATGCCTCTATAACTCCTTAGCTTGCAGTTGTCAGGCTTTAGACAGGTTGTGGTGGAAGTGTCCCTTCAAGAGTCTGCTCACTGGGGCAGTTAGGTAGGTGACTTACAGAGGAGGCCTGCCTCTATTAGATAGAATAGCTGTGCAGTGCTCTTTCTTTATGGAGTGCCCATTAATCATTCCCTCCTAAAGGCAAGCGAATCAAATGGAAGAACAGAAGGAAATGCAGTGCCAAGCTATAGAGAGGGCATATGTTTGCCCATGCGTATATGTGTATATGGGGAGGACAATAGTCCGGTCCTATTATAACCACTTTTCAAGGGAACATCAATGTGGAATGCTATGCTTTGCTATTGAAAAAAAATCAGTGTCTTTTTTTTTTCTCATTGCACTGCTTTTCTCATTATTTGGTCTGAAAACAAGAAAAAAGTAGATACTCCTTCTGTCCAAACCCAGGTTTTATGTGAAGCTGTAAAGAATGAAAACCATACAGATTCTTTCTTTCACTTCATTTTTTGGATAGTATTTCTTTAATTAGTTGATGCCCCAAGCTTGACCTACCTAGCGTTTGTCATCCTGGAGCCTTATAGGGAAAATACTTTATAAAGTTTGTAATATTTAAAGACATGGCTAGACTCTTTTTTGAACTTGCTTCAGAAAGCGCCACTAGACTCAGCCTCAACGGAGTTTCTCCAAGTTTTCTTTAGTGTGCAGATGTGGGTAAGATGTGTCAAAATAGTTCTGAAAAATCCACTGCTGAGTTTGCAAGGAATCACTTCCTTTCTTAATCATGTTTTTATAACACAAGCAAGAAGCTGTGTTATGTTCTTGTGGTGCTCTTCTGCCATTTTGGGGGTAACACCCATTGTTCCCAAGACAAGAACTTGGTAGGAAAGGGGAGAGCATGGAGATAAGGCAGAAAAATGGCAGAAACTGCATTTTCAGGAGAATATTCTCCCAGGCTTTTTATAAGCTAGCTTTTATTAAGGAAATTCCCCAAAGGCAAGCAAAAATTTCCCATTTTGCTGAGCACCTCAAGTAGAAATAGCTTGACTTTCTTTTGCTGTCCAGATGCTTTAATGTGCAATGGCCAAGATAAGTTTTGCTTTTGAACTTAAAAAAAACCCCAACAACCCCAAGCATTCCTTAGCTGCAGAACGAATGTTAATAAGCACGCCAAATAAAGGAAAAGAGTTATTTGAGATTTTCCAGACTGTGTTTTACATCTTGTCTCTACATCTGTTCTCTACCTCAGACTGAGACTGCTGTCCGGGCACTCCTCGCATTACAGGTGCACAGGACAGGGGGACAAGAGGGCAGGAGTGGGAAAGATGGAGAGTGGTCCTTTTGAAGGGGCAAGGCAGGTAGTAAAAAAAAAACCCCACCACCTTGGCTCCCCTAAGTTACCTTGGCCAGATATTAGGCTTGGTATTAGGAGTAAGAAATATCCATTAGAAACTGAACAAAACCCAGCATTTCTTTGGAGATGGATGGGAGTTGATGGGCACATCTGGGAAGCTGGCCAATGCATTTAAAGGTCTAAATTGGAGCAGAGTTCTTTGGAAAATCTGGTTTTAACTTACACTGAGAAGATGCTTTGCCATTTCCACAAGGATGCTGTACTGCATTCCTCGCCTTGGCTGAGTCTGTTATAGACTTTACAAGAGAAGAGAGATCATATATAAACACGTATTGTACTTCTGCTTTTAACCAACATGAGTATGGCAGCAGTTTTACCATTTTGAGAGCTGCTGTAATAATCCTCCCTGTACATCCCCTTTCTCCGGGGTGAAATTCCCTAGTTTTTGATTACAAGAAAAGGGTTGTTTCAGAAAGCAAAATGTAGCTACCTGAGCTGGATTTTACTTCTTTTCCTTCAAAAGCAGCCAGATGATCGTAATGGTTTAACTGGTCAGATGTAGGGTAACAAATGGCAGCGTCTTGAGTATCACGGTGCTGTTTTGCATCAGGGTAGGACACAGTGGGGAGAGTGCTGTTCCTTCAGCTATCAGGGCTTCCTGTGGTGCCCGTGGTTCCTGAATAGTCTGCCCGTTTCCTACCTGCTCACAGGAGGAGAGAGCTAATCACTCCCACATTACTGAGCCTTTCAGGCCTCTCTCTTATGCTCTGCCATGTCCCCCATGGCTGGCAAGGCTCTGTCGCTGGCAGGACAGTACAAATGGCATGCTCTGCCTCTCTCTCTGCGCAGGATACACCTTGAGGACCTCAGCCAGAGCGTGCTGCTCCATATGACTGAGAAGCTGGGCTACAAGAACAGCGACGTCATCAACACTGTGCTCTCAAACAGGGCAAGTCACACACTTGCCATCTACTTCCTGCTTAATAAGAAGCTGGAGCGGTACTTGGCAAGCCTTAGGGTAAGTTTTGCTTGATGCCAATTCTTTGGACAAGTGGGTGAGGAGGATAAAAAAGTGCTAAAACTTTTCCTGCTTGCTGCCATTTGATTGCAAGCCTTTACCTGAGGGTTTTTGTTTTTTTTTTTTTCCCTTTGTAGCAGTAACCATGAAGGGGAAGTATTCCTCACAAACTAATAACATTATTTCAGATAAGAATTCTCCAAGTTGCAGAGATAATTGCTAATAGGCTTTAAGTCTCACGAGTCCGTTTCCATAGGAGATCCCTTCCAGCTAGGCAGTTACCCTATAGAAAGCAAACTGTTGCCATGCAGAGTCATAGTTGTGACTTGTGGCATGCTGAGTCCATATGTTGACATAATTCTACAGCTTGAAATGCCAATAAAGCAATGCAATTTGATTCAGGAAATCAAGAGGAAGCTTAAGAGCTATTAAGATTTTATTTATTTTTTAAGTGAAAACTTTGCTGAAAGTTTTACAAGAGAAATAGCATTAATATAAAGTCTCCTAATCTCCTGCTGACCTGAGGATGACTTGGGGGTCAAAAATCCTACTGAAGGGTTTGCATGGCAGCTTTCTCTATGGCAGGAATCTGCAGCCACATGTCACCCTTGTATGTCCCGGGGAGTGGAGATCTCAGGCCATGTTTTGCGTGGTGTTTACCGGAGTGCTGCCTGTGCTCTGGTGAGGAGTCTCAAGTAGTTGGGGGTCTGTCTCAAGTAGTTGAGAGTCTGTAGGCTCCTAGGTAACAGCACAGGGAAGAGGGTGGGTTGCATGGAGTTTTCTTCTTACTATGTTTGCTTCTTAGAGAAACTGTCGCCCAACAGCCTTCCAATCTGACAACAGCTTCTTAGTAAAAACTAAGAAGTTTTTTCTCAGTTCTTTTAGCAAGCTTATTGTAATCACGGTGCTATCAATGACGTTTAAAAAGAAATGGATGAAATTCACCTCCTCTATAACTTGATGCGCCTCCACTGAATGCCAAGAGTGGATATGGTCCATTAAGCAGTAATTGAGCATTAGTTTTCTCCAATTATCTTACATGCTTTACTTTTCTGTGCTTCTCTCTCCACAGAAGTCTGAAGGCCAGGACAATATTTGCCACAAGAACCAGCTATACCAGATAGAAAAATACAAGGCAAATAAAGACTCCTATGAGGTAAAGACCATTAAAGCTCATTAAGGTACTTTGAAAGCAGACTGAATTTGAGGATCCCTGGCAATTGTGATTAAGGCAATGGGTTTCTGGACCTGTGGAGAAAAAAAGACCTGTGGTCTTGCTTGTGCATGACAAATAATTCCCTTAATTTCTTTTTGAAGGAGCAAAGAACAACCCCATAGAGTGGAAGTGTAAAAGTGACTTTCAGCTTTCCTGAAGGAAATAAAAGTTTTAATTGCTCTGTTTAGCAAAATAATACAAACTTTTTCAGGGGGCTCCGTAGTTTCATTCTGGGGTGCAAGTTGCTGGTGTTGTAAGAAGACCATAACTGTGTTGCCTTGAGTCACAAGACCTTGGCAGAGAGCTGAGTGACAGCCAGGGTGACCTGGTCACCTGGCATGCCTGGTATCCTGGGCCAACCCTGGTGTGAGTACCAGAAACAGTGAAACTGTATTAGCACAAAACTCTGCCCAGGTTACTATTTTTTTGCTTCTTAGCAGAAGTGATGCAGAATTAGCCCACTGCATTGTGAGGGACTTCCTTTGGCCAGAGAAAAGATTCAACCAGGTTACACTTGCTCTGTTGGTCTCCAGTCTTTTTGCCTGCAAGTAGAGAAGGTAGTTTGTATTAAAGGAATACTTATCACATGGCTGCATTTTTCTTCCCTGGCTGATTCTTCACCAAGCACTAGAATTACAAGAGTAATATGAGCTGTGCAAGCCTTACCTACCAACACAAAAAGCAGTGTTCCTGAAGAGTGTACCTATTTCAAAAGCTACTCCTCAGCGCTGGATTGATGATCTAATTGCAGGGGCAGATTTGTATCATGGCTGGTTTTGTTTATTTTAAAGACTGCTTGCAAGACAAGCTGAACTGCAAGCCAGATGGAAATATCAGGGCAAAGTACTTATCATTCTTTTCTTACATAAATCAAAAACCACTTTACTTAAAATGTATCAGCAGTGGGTAGACTCAATGAATGTAATATTTCAAAGCGCTCTTTGACAGCTCACTTCAAGCTGTTGCAGGGTAACCTTCCCTTGGAAACACAGGCAGGTACCTGGAGGTGAACGCTGCAGATGTCGCCTGGTGCATCCCGGTGCTCTCTGGGCCAGCTTCCCCCAGCTGCTGGTGTCACTTCTTTGTGCAGTGACTGAGAGCCACAGGCCATACAGCTTCTGTTTACCTGCCTGGAGCAGGGGAGTCTGCAGCAAGGCCTGCCTGTGCACTTGCACATAGCCAACATGCACAGAAACGCACGGTCTGGTTTGGTGGTGGTCCTGAAGTCCCCGTGCTCCTAGAGGGGAGCTGATGTTTAACGCCTCTAAGGATAATTGAGAACGAATGGTAGCGCCACTGTATGACCCCAGTTTGGTGTGTAGGCATACTTAGGGATAAAGGCTTCCTCCAAAGCCTCTCCTGCACTCAGAGTTAGTCCCAGTGGAGCTATTTAGAGGATGAGGGGGTGTCATTTCTTTCTTGAAATAGTTACCTTGATGCAATCACAGTGCAGACACCATGATAATCATACAGTATCTTCTCTTTCTGCATGGGCATAGCTGTGTATAAAGCATGGTTTATATCACTTCAGCTGCATTTACACAAAGGGTTTGTGTTACCCCTACTGTACCAGGACAGTTGAAGCAGCACAAGTTGGTGAATACAGACCAAGGGATGCTACTGCTATTTGTAACTATGGCAGACCCCTCTCCTTAAATGCCTTCATGTGGATGGGAACACAGCCCTGGTGGTATCTAGCTCATGCTGCTGGGATCAGTGGGTGCCACTGGGACTCAGGGAGGGGGATTTCATAAGCTCAGGCAGGTTCAGGAGCTGTAGGTAGAGTCCCTGCATCACCCTTCATTTCCAGAGGGGAACTGGGAGGCACTGGTCCCTAGGCAGATGCTGCATGGAGAGCATAGCTGTGCGTTGCCATGGGAATAGCAGGGAGAGAGCTGGTCAGCTTCAGCTTCAGCAGCCGACTCAATTTCTTTCACCTCACTCCAGTGATGTGAAACGTGGACTTTGCCTTGGACGGGGTCTGCCTGCCAGCAGCAGCGCCTGTTGGTGGGGCAGGCAGCGGGGCACATGGGCAGTGGTCGTTCCCAGACCCTCTTCTCCATGAGGTTTCCTACCCTGGGGTGGTGGGATCGATGTGCCAAGGCTGAGGGTGCTGGGAGCTGCTGTCGGTGCTAAGTAACCAGGCTGTTTTGCAGGCTGATTGGGTTTTAGTGCTCAGGGCAGATGGGCAGCACGGGGAGGAGGGAGGCAGCAGTCTGCCTGTCTCTCCATCTCTCCCTTTTTGTTGGAGAGGCCTCGGGTGATGGGCAGCCATCCCTGCAGTGAATCCAAGGCACCAGTGCTGGGGAAACCTGCCTCCTGCAAGGTAGTTACTGAGCTCAGACCCGGAGAATTTGCAATTTTTAAGAACTTGTGTCACCGTCCTATCACCATTTCAGACACAGCCAAGGCAAATACCCTTTATCTTCCTTTCAAATAGGTTGCTGGGACTAGGAGTATGTTTTCGGGTCGAGGTCAGGACAGGAAATAGCAGAGGATGATGTAATGCCAAACCTATTCAAGTATAACATACCGGTACAACTCCTGCATTGTGCGACAGCGTGCCATTACGTGGCTGTGCACGGTACAGTGAAGAGCAAACTTTTATAACTCCCCCAAAGGAAATCTTCCTTTCCTTTGAAAATATATAATAGTATGTGGCACATTGGGAATTTAGGATTTTGGTCATTTCCCCCTCTCACAACCATCATTTAAGAGAAACAGTGTTAGTAAGTTTTAAAAATACTCCTAAGACTATTTGCAGTATTCATCCAGGGTAAACTAATTAATTGCTAACACCAGATATGTGAATTTTCTTTTTCATGGGTGCTTTTAATTTACAGTACGACTGTATTACTGATGCTTAGAAAACCTAACAGCAGTGTGAAGGCAAAGTCAGGGGCACTTGGCAGGTGAGGAGCTGCGGCTTGGCTCTTGCACCATTAGCCTAAAAATATTGCAGCATTGAAACGTCCTGCATTCTGACAGATGCTGCAGCAACCGACGTGCAAATTCATTCCTCACCTATCCAAAATAGCAGAAAGCCGCTAAGAATCTCGATCGGCTCCTTTAGGCTTAATATAGTCACCACTTGGTCTCATCCTCACAAGTACCTTTAAAAAAAGATACTCAGTAGAGCCCAGTCTCTGCTGAACTTGGCAGCAGAGTTTCAGAGCCTTGAGAGGAAAAAATAGCGCGGTGGGCTCAAAATTAGCTGTACAGCTCCCACTGACTCTATTGTCACAGCGTGTTATTCACACAGCATTGTTATTATTAGTGCTATTGTTGTTATTACTGTTGTTATTACTTCATCATCATCAGTGGTGACTATGCTCGCCAAGACAGTGCCTGGGACCGATCAGATGTTGCATTGTTCCAAGCACAGCACAGGCAGGGAGGAATAAATGCTCGGTGCTGGAGGTGTTCACAGCCTCAAAAGGCAAGGGCAAAGACATCAGGTATTGAAGGCGAAGAGGTATCATGCAAGCAAAGTGATGACAGCTCCACACAAGCATTGGTTTGTTTCTCTGGGAGGGTTAGCCAGCTTTAGCTAGCTAAAGGGAAAGAAATTGGAGGGGATAAGGGATGGATGGAGAGAAGGCTGGGTTCAAAAAACACATGTGAAAAGGGAGACTGAGGTGAAGGCAGTGAGGAGCTCAGAGAGGGTCTCTGGTTCTCGCTCTCCCAAGTCACCTAACCACTTCTGTAATAAAATTAAAAACCAGAGTTCACTGAAGCTCTTCCTTCTGACTCCGTAACTTCTGAAAATTGGAAGGTTAATGAGCCCAGCACTGCCCAGAAACCTTCTATGTGGGGGGCTAGACTCTGAGCTGGGAATGATCATAAGGAGTGCCGTTCAGGTATTTTCCTCATATTGTCTTAATATGTTTCCAGAGCTGTGTAGTGGCCCAAGAGAACCCAAGTTTTCTTCTGTGTCTTTCTTTCCCTCTCTCACATATATGCATGTCACTTCGCATGAGGGTTTAAATACACTTCATATCAATGAACTTTCAATAGAAAATCATCAAGAGAGCCAGCGCTTTGGCGGTGCATAATTATCAGACAAAATACAGACCTCAGCACGTAACTGGGTGAAGGAGCTTCCCTGCATTTTTAGAAAAAAGGCTTGTAGTTAGAGTGACTTTTCAATAAGACAGAGCAAGACATGTTGCTTAAATGAGAATTACAACTACACAAAGAATCTCACATAGATGACCCCTTAAAGAAACAATCCCAAAGCAACCAAAACTAAAGTCCCACTTCTTTGAGACTGACATCTAAAACCACACCAGACAGATTTGTTCCAGAAAGGTGAAAGATTGTTGAAGTCTTTGAACGGTAGCAAAATATGGGCCACAAATCTGATGCCTGATTTTTAGAAGTGAAATAAGACTTTTGACTCCCCTTGAAATCAGTACCAGGTAAAGAGTGTTATGCAGCTTACAGAATCTAGTGATTCATGTTGAAAAAAGAAACAATTAATTTTCACTGTAAAACAGTGCTTTGAAAATTGGATTCCTCTTCAGATCCCACTCACGGGTTCTGTTTTGCCTCTGTCATCACTGGAGATCAAACTTATCTTTTAGGATGTATGTGCTTGCAACACCACCTTCAGCTGCCTTCCCTGTCACGAAAAGGAGTTCAGTGAAGGGTTGAGTTGGTAATTTTCTCCTCCTCCATGTCTTGTGCAGTTGCAGACATGCTGTAAAAGCAAGGGTTGTATTCCTCCAGATCTTGTTTGGACAAAAGATAGACTCAAAGAATTTAAGCTTCTTTAAAGCTTTGCAGCTCACCTTTTCAAATGTTGGAGGAAGTGCAATAAAGAGAAACCAAAGACCTTTTCTTCAATGTTTAGATGGGGAGGCAAATTTCAGGTATGAAGGAGCACGAACCTGCATCTACTTGTTCCGGTGAGGTCTCCTACAACTAATAGCCTCCGAAGGGAAAGCCTTCCTTTTCCTTTAATTTTCCCAAACCAACCTTCACACTGCATGAGTGTCAGAGCAGATGGGAGCCATGAAATCATGTCAAACAGATCAGAGGAAAATGAGACATGGAAGTTTTAGTTATTTTGAGTAGCCAGGATAAGTTCCTTGTAAATGTATAGTTTTAAATTCAGCTCGGTAAGTGGCGTGCTTATAAATCTGGGGGTCATTTAAACTTCCCTTAAGTAAACCAAATTGTTCTTGTTTGTTTTACAACCTAAAGGACAAAAAACTCAAAGAACAAGAAAAGAAAGGGGAGATTCTTCACCGTCAGCTCCCAAAGAAAACTGAGAAAAGTCCAGTTTCATATAGACAGCCTTCTTCCTGTCTTATCTCACAGATACAGAACACCAAGGCTCTGCTGAAGGACCGGAAAGTCACCAAGGCTGGAGGTCCGGAGAAAGGTCAGTGGGAGAAATACCAGCAGTGTGTCCCTGTATGCATGTGCATGTGTGGGCATGCACGGTATTAATGAGAGCGTCTTGTGTGTTGCGTGTTTGTTAGTAAATAGTTGTGGGCTTTTGCATTCACTGTCTGCTCTGGAGGTGGTATGTGAAAGAGGGCTGGATAACATAGTCAAACATTGAATGCAACATCCTGAGGAAACCATAACGATGTTCAGCAGTCATGAGTGCTCACTTTTACTTCTCTTCTTATTTGACAGAATTCCCACAGTGCTTTAAAAAAAGCTTGCTTTCTCTATTTATATGTACTTACACAAAATCATCTGCACTTCACGCTGGTGCTTTGAAAGCATCAACACCCACCCCAGATCACTGACAAAGCAAAGCTGGTAGAGATGCTTCTTCCTACCGGCAAATGTGTTCTGCTAAGAGAGGACTAAAAGGCAGCAGGGGAAGAAATCCCTGACCCTGAGGAGAGTGCTGGTAACGGTGGCATCCCTGGAAGAAGCAGCAGGCAGCAGCTGATGGTGGAGGAAGGGGAAGCAGGCAGCCAAGAGGAAATGCGGGTGGGACTGCCAACCCCAGCGAATTTCAGGCAGCAAAAGGAGGGGGAAAGGCATTAACGGGGAAAGGAAAAGACGAGACAGTCGGAGGAGAGCAGAGCATTAATCACACAGGGTAGGAGGCAGCCTGGGAGGGATGGGTGAGAGCTGCTCGCAAAAGGAGGTGGAAGAAAGGAGTGGAGGAAAAGAGGAGTCAGAAGGGAAAACGGGGTGTCGGTGGTGCACACCTGGACAGGAGACACTGCGGATCAGGAAGGTGATGTAGCCTGCTGTTAAATGAGGGAATTAAAGGTAGGGGTGTCACTACAGAGCAGAGGGAGGGAAATACGGCGATGTAAAGTGTTTACTGTAGTGTCAGGGGGTTATTTAGAGTGGTGGATTATTATGGTGGCTTCATGCTCTTTCTCATGACTTGATAATATATCATTTGATGCTTTCTACCTGAAAAAAAAAAAATCAAAATGGTGTTCGTCTGGCAGCATAGGCACATCTGCTGTAAGGTAGCAGTAGTCCAGAGGGTTGGCCAGAAATGGGACATACTTTTTGTGAAAAATGTAAAAAACATTTTAAAAGTGCTCATTTTGTTCAGATTTGTTGCTTCTTTTGGGAGAGAGGCACAGGGGGAAGTAAACCAATTTAATTTTTTAACTCATTGGGTTTCTCCCTGCTTTTTTTAACTGAAACCTGACAATCATTCAGACCTCAGCTAACGCATTTCTCTGCTTATGGAAACCATGTTTTGACACTTCTTAAGTGAAGCAGTCAAACAATTTTGACCTGTTTTGGAAAGAAATTAGTCATTTCAGGTCCCAACCCCTGCCAAGACCATCCCTTTCAGAAGAAGTATATGTGAGATTTGTAGCTGTGACCTCAGGGAAGACCTAAATTATTTTATATCCCTTTTAAACAGTTTGAGACTGAGGAATTCATGGACAGTGATTAACTGCTGGTCCACTATTCTTTCACTTAGGGGGAACCTAGCAAAGCAAGCTCCTTGGATAGCTTTCCATAAAGGTAGCAAAGCGACTGGCTTGGGATAAGCAATTGCCAGCATCCTGTAGAAACCGAGCAGATCTTCTCCACGAGCTGTTTTGTTTTACTGGGCCAAGTCCTGCAAAGATTGTTCCATTTATATTTGGTCCTTGCTGGGGGAAGATTCTCACTGAAGTCGATGCAGCAAATCTGTTCCAACTGTAACAGCCTGAATCTGGCCAGTGCAGCTACTCCATATTTACATGTGTGAAACCAAGAACAGATTTTGTTCCAAAATGCAAGGAAAGACATTAGGAATTAACTCGCTGTTGTCCCCTGTGTCTCTAGGTATGTCAGTGAATACAGTATGCAGACCCAGTTAAAGCCATACAAAGTTGTGCTAAGAAAGGGAAAATGTGAGATTTCTCAGACATGGCCTTAGAGGATATAATTAATGCAAACAGCTGAAGACATCTGTGGTTTTCCGTTTCATGTCTTTGTCTTACTCAGTTTAAGCACTCCTCCTGCCTTTGAGGAAAAGTGGCAGATAAATTGCCCATGAAACAACAATGTAAGTATCAAATGAGAGTCAGGGAATTAGGTTCTGAGTATATTCCTAAGACCATTTGTTTTAGGCAGTGCATTTGTCACGCTCTTCTAAAATTTGTTAAAGGTGGTGTTGGATGCTGTCTGCCGTAAGGCAGGGAAGGCAGTGCTATTAAATGCAATCTGCTCTTCTGGTTCCTTTTCTGATTGCTTTGCAGACTCCGGCGGTGGGGTAAGCCCTTTCCACGAACCCCTGGCAAACAAGACGGGCTGCGTCACTTCCAGCTCCCTGGAGTACCTGGAAGTCCAGCAGCCTCCCCCCAGAACCCCTCGGCTCCTCAAGAGGCAGGAGTCCCCACAGCAGGAGCCGGCCCGGATCGGGGGCCGGGCGAAGGACTCTCCTCTCATCCTGAATATTGTGCACTCCTTCGAGTCGGTCGACAGAGAGGACCAAATAGACCAGGTTTCCCCCTCTCATCAGTACAGGGTTTTAGGCTCGCCAATGAATTTCCCATACAAAAGCTCAAGTGAAAGGACACTGTCCCCGCTTTTTCCGCCGGGGAGTACGTCCCCCGTCCACCCCACCCAGCTCTCATTCACGTATGAAGAAAAAGCGTATCCGGGAAAGGAAGAAGCAGTGTCCCCTACTCAGCTGGTTTCCAACAACCCCTTGGGCAGCCCTAACTGTGTTAAAAGCAGAGGCAGATTCCCCATGATGGGGATCGGACAGATGCTGCGGAAGAGGAACCAGACGATGCAGTCGACCAGCGACAAGCCGCTGGAAGCGAGGATGCCTCAGCTGCAGCAGATGAGCCCCACACAGATTTCCTTCAATGCAGCAGATGCTGTCAGTGGCCAGTGTTAGTCTGACATCCCGGGATTTGCACTGCTCTTCTCTGGGACCTAGCCTTTTTTACTTCTAACAAGAAGGGAAAGCCACAGGCATGTTACTGTGACTACGTAATACGCTACAGTGGTCCGACGTAGAAGATCAGAGGTCTGCTTGTATGGAAGGTGTTGTCCTACATATTAAAGTTGAAAGAAAAGGGCTCTGCTTGTGCTGTTAAGAAATATTAGCATTTAGCCTCTGACTGTACAGTAAAACATGTCTTGAAAGAGCTACGTGAATGTGTATTTTCACTGCTCTCACCTAGTATTGCAGTGAGGTTGATTGGAAGAGCAGCGAGCATTAACAGTTTGATTCATCAAGGTAATCTGCGTGGTGCCATGAATGCCAGTTCCCTCCAGGTTCTGTGGTAAGACTGTCCGTGCTCCGTCTGCCTGTGCCACACAGTACTTTCTGCTGCTACAGGCATTGTTCTCGTGGCTAGACAAGTTGAAAAACTCGAGATACGATGTCCAAAGTCAGCTTGCTAACAAGCACTGCCAAGATGAAGTTGGCAGAAGTTTGAATAAAGACACAAGGGATCTAAACATTCAGAAAAAAGTGGGAGCATTTGAAGTCAAAGCTGTTAATTACATAAAATGGCTAATAACGGAATCATTTTTTTTCCTAAAGAAAATGATGATTTTATTATGTCACTCAGAAGTTATTATTGAAAAACAAATTTAATCACATGGAAATTTACCATGCTAGGGGCCCGTTTCTTTCATATGGTGGGCCTGCAAGCGGATGCTTCAAACAGAAATCCAGATTGCAGCACGCTGTGTTTAAACAATCCAGTCACCTCCGATTTTTGTAGTTGTACTAGTTCCATGGCACGCCTACATGCAGGACTGCGTTAGCCCCTGTTACAGCAAAGCAGCATTGGACACACCTGAAGGCTTTTCTGAGAGACTGCAATGAATTAAAAAGACTAATAAAGGACACATGAACCTGTACCAATGCCATTTTATACTGCAAGATTGGTAATGCAGTGGTTACCAAAAATTCAGCATTGTTATGAGCGGTGAAGGTTAACTTTCTTAAAAGGCATCATGTTCTACATACCCGTCTTCTTTTTATAAGTAAATGATACATCTGAGAGGTTGGCAACATTTTTTTTTTTGGTTCTGTTTTTGTCTTCAAACCATTTCCTATAAATTAGAAGGTTTAGCCAAAGACTACTCTTTTCTTTCGTCTGTACCGTGCTTGCGTATGTGTTTGTGTGTACGGAACATCTCAGCAAAGCTTGTTCCAGTCTGGTTCCCAAGCGGGCAGCCCCACTGCTGTCCACCCCTTTAATGGCATTCCAAAACACAGGAGAGGCATTGTCTTCTTCTTGGGGTTGTCTCTGGAAGATGGAGGTTTTACCTCGGGACCATCAGCAGGAATCCAAGCCCTACTTTTATCAATATTTTTGCAAACAATTTTGTGGCCCCATTGCTTTGGTGTCTGTGCAAACGCTGAGAGTTTCCCCTGTTCGAAAAGCTTTTAATGAGAGACACACACGGGGACTGGGGGAGGAAGGCCAGCAGAGGCAGGGGAGAAGATCTCCAGCAGAGCCCGTAGCTGAGCGCGTGTTCCCAATTCTCAGCCTTACCTCACAATCTGCAAGAAAAAAAAATTGGCCGTTAATCCAGATACTGACAGAACAGATAACTGGACTGTTCAGCAGTTTGAATGCTTGCTGGCAAAACCAGCAGAGCGTGAACGCCCATAGCGCCCTTCTCATCCCTGCAGATGGGACCTTCACCTCAGCACTGACGCTGCCCGTCAGTTCGGTGCAAGGGAGTCCATATGCATCTTGCTCTCTTCGCTGTAGCGAGGACACCCGCCTCTGAGGTAGCTTAACTACCTGTAAAATAACAGACATAAAAATCCCAATATGATAAAAAAGACAGCCCTGAAATAATTTTACTCATTTTCCGATTGAAAAATGTCGTCTTCTGTTTGTACAGAGCACCTGTGCCTCCCAGGGGTCCATTCTAGCGCTTCCTTTCATTTAAAATCATCAAGGCATTTTCTTTTTCTTCATACTAAGAACATCTTTGTGCTGCAAAGCTAGCGAGCGGGGACCACTAAAATCCCGTCTTTGGCTTGTGTTGAATTTGCATACCTGAACAGATGGCAGATACTGACTTGAATTACAAACTCAGGTTTATTTGGAACCCAATAAAAGGTTGGGGGAGGCAGGAAAGAGACATGTATTTTTTGTGAAAACCCAGTAAATATGTGTAAGAATCAGAATTGAAACAGAAATGTTAAATCTTTTATTATATTTATAGAGAATATATGAGTACTACACTGCTAAAACATAACCGTGTATCCAGCTTAGACAGTAGCTATGTACAGTCAAACTGCAGTGACCATAGAAGGGACTGACTGAAATACAGTAGTGGAAATTCCAGGGGACAAAATTGTATTTGTTATCACTATTAAATATACGTACTTTTTGAACAAGATCGCCATGGACTGCTGAATTTGTTTGCCAGGTCACTATGTAGCAAGGATTATCTAAGTACAGAAACAGGCAGCAAGACGGTGAGATGACAAGAGGACTGCCAGCACCTTTATCTCCACCCATCAGAGGCTACTCCTTGGAATCTGGCTGATGACTCGCCTATAAACCCCAAGTGAGCTAAAAGGCACAGGTTGGGATTTCTCTTGCTTAATGTCAGCCCTCTGCAAGTTGCACGTCTAGTCTCTGGTCATTATCCAAGCTTTGTTTGTCACCAGTGGAGGCTGATAGGTATCTCCAGTTCTTCTCACCTTAAAACAGATGTCCAAAATGGTGAGAATGAATTGCTTCTCAGCAACGTGTAGTTGTTCCCAGAGACGAGGGAGGGAGTAGGGTCGGCCAGTTCAGATAAGAACCCAGCTTTTAGAAAGTCACAGCAATATAAACAAAAACTTTTGCTGACCAGCTTTCTGCACCTCTGGACTTAACGTCTTCGAGTCATAGGGACTGGTCCAACCTTTGCTCAGCTTAGCACTGCCATGCACACTGGTGATCGGCCTGGCAGCTTCAGTTGAAGCGTTTCAGTTTTTGAGCCCACAGTTCTTCCAAGTGCTCTTTCGTCATCCTCCTGCCTTTTTACAAATGTGTTTCCTACAACAGCTGATCTGAAGACCTCCAAAATCAGCGGACGTCTTTTTTCTGGTGTTTGCAATAGGCTTGGCCTATTGCATGGGTTTATCGAGCCCACGATGAACGTGTTTGATGGACCTGAAAACGCACTTTTGACTTCAGATGCTGCACTAGGGAAAAGAGCACTGCTCAGCTTTGGATGCAAGGTGGAAGCACCAGGGCTTTATGGAGCCTTTTTTAGGTACTGTTCACCTGCAGAACCCAATGGAGTCAATGAAGCAGCTGTGAAGCATTTAAAGAGGGTTTTGCAAGCTAACTGATCGCTGGATGGCAGTTCAAGATCCATAGTGATAAAAGGAATTTTATTCAAGCTCTTCTGCCTGGAAAAATAGGTGTTGGATTTATTCAGCAAGACAACACAAGTCAGCATCTGTTGCTAAAGGTGTTGGTATTTGTACTTCTCCTGTAAATGGGCTGATAAATATTAAAATTCCCGAGTATCAAGATTTGCAGATCCTAAAAGTAAATAACAGTTACTTTCGTACTTTCGCACTTGACATCACTTGGTCTTTGCAACAAAATCCCTCAGTGTGTTGCTGCGAAAAGGTTGGGTTGGGTTTGCAGGAGAGTTTTCAGTCCCCAGTGCAGCAGTAAGATGGTTTGTTAGCCTCTCCCCGGAGACAGCCCGGCACAAATCTGCCCGGGGCGGCAGCGTGGCTGTGGTGAACCTATGGAAGAAGGGAAGGGAGAGGGGAGAAGGACTCAGTGGTCCATATAGCTTTGCTGGACTTCTACTGGGCAGAGCGTGAGGCTGGCCGGCAAACTGGGTGTGTTGCTGGGTCTGGGGCTGCTGCTCGTGGTAAGGGATACACTCCCTCTGTAGCTGGTGTGACAAAAACCTCCTACCCAAGAGGAAGGCGACTCTTTTATTTGCTCTATTGTAATTAAGCTAGAAACTTTACTGTTGGAAGCACCCCAAGCTCATAAAGGCCTTGCTTATCAAGGAGTGACCCGAAATTTCAGGGACACTGTTGCTGGGTGCAGTCGTTTAGCATTTCCCTGGTTCTTCCCTGCTTTTTTAATATTCGGTGGTCACAAACAGTCAATTTTCTCTTCTGTTTCCTACTCCACACGGCTTCCCCAGAGCACAGCAAAACTGCCAGGTACAGCACCGGGGCCTGTTTTTCCTATTAAAAAGTTACCATGGCTCTGTGGAGTCGAGGGCTACAAATCACACACGTGCAGAAAGACGGCCGTGTGGCAAATTCATTACTAGGTGTGACTCCGTGGTCCCTCAGCAGGCTCCCTGCCCCCTGGTTGTGCGACTGGTGTGCATCGGAGGAGGTCTCCAGCAGGAATAGCCGGGGGGGAAACGCTGGGAGAGGGTTCAACTTCACGTCATCGCTTCTCATGGAGAGAAACGTGCTCCCTCAGAAGTGAGTGAGTGGCTTGTTTGCAGCAGGTTTTCCGTCAAGGGAGCCACTTGAGCACTGATTCCTAAGCCCTCTGCATTAGCATGTGTTTTACAGGTTTGCATTGCCTGTAATTGTCTTTCAGAAAGATGGGTTGCAGATGTATGTAGGGGGAGGACAGGTGAAATCATTTTGAGTCCTTTCAATATTTATTAGCGAAAGAAGCCCGAGATATGATGCTTTCTTTTTTTTTTTTTTTTAGGTACAGGCAATTAGCTGTTGTTAGAAACAAAGGGTGTAAGGGTAGAGCCTAGAGTAGGATTTGGAGTTCACCTGAGCATCTCTGCTGTCTGCTGATGAAAAACCAGGAGTTTTTCAAAACTAGGCAGTGAAAAGCCCAGGAGAGAAGAAATGAGAAGAAGCTTATCGATTAAGTGTAAGGTTCTAAACTTGTTTTAAGATTTTGGTTAATATCTGAAAGCAGGACTACTGCATTTTTGAGATATATTTATTAATGTTTGTATGAATAGCACTCTTCTACCTATAAATGTAAAAAAAACACCTCAATTTGTTGTATCTACTACAACTGGAAAAGATACGCTCAATCTAAAACAAAGACAAGAAAAGCTATCAGAGGCTTTGTTTTAAAATAGCTTCCCTCTTTCTGTTTCACAGAAGAAAACAGAAGTGTTGTCCTGTGCTGATAACGTAGGGATGGCTGTTGGATCAAATGAGGTTTTTTCCTCGCATCTCTGCCCGTCCCCAGACAATTTGTTTTGGATTTGCCCATGTGTGGGCTTGGACTCATGTTTCCAGTGCATCCCACTGAGCTGATCTTTTTCCCTACCCAGTCACCAATCCTCATGAAATCTGTGAAAACACTGGATTTCAGAGACCTCCTTTGGTTGAAAGCAGCCAGGAGGGCTCAGGCACTGTTCAGGAGACTTGCAGAGGGATGGATAGATTTGGGATCCACACCAAAAATATCTTTTTCACCCGACGTTGACCTGAGTGTTGTTGAGGGGAGCATCTGACACCTACTGATACCCAGTGTGCAAGGCATTTACCCAGCAGCAGAAATTACCTGGGTGCTCGTGCAGCAAAGCCCACATCCATGTCCCCTGCTATTGGGCAACCCAGCGGCCTGAGATTCCTCCGTCTACCACGCCAACACATCAGCCACTTGAAATTACGGGTTTTTTTGGTGGCTCCACTTCTAAAACGCTGTTTTAATTCAGCAAAAATGTTTCTGGCACTTCAGAGGACAGGGCTTGGGGGCAGGTTACAGATTTGCAATTGCCAGGTTCACAAGCTCTTGCAGCTTCTGTCTCCAGTACAAACCCTTCCCCAGAAAGCCGTCAAAGTGTCTGCAGGAGGCCTTTGTGCTGGGAAGTCATCTGTCCATCCCCATGAGAGCCACCCACCTCAGACCAGATTGGAAGTCTTTGAAAAATGGCCCTGAGCAAATTTCTGCGAGGAGGCTGGGTTGTCTTAGCAGCTCAATTCCCTGAAGACCTCGGCACTGCAAAAGCGAGGGATTTTGGGGGGCAGTGGCAGAGTGACCCCCCTGCAACAGCTAAGTGAAAGCTGAGGGTGGGACACGGAGCTGCTGAAGGTTGTGAAAGATAGGACAAGTTTGTGACATGATCTTGCTGTGTATGATCAGCCCCCAGCAGCATCAGTGGGAAGTCCTCCACGAAGCACTTCAGGCCTTGGAGCTCATCCTGCAAAAGGCCACTATCACAGTTTGGGAGGGGGGAAATGGGAAACCATGTAACACGGAGCAGAACCCCCTCCCAGAGACGGTGTCTGTAAAACTGGGAGGATCTTCTGCCCTAACATATTAATCGGGGCACTTGTAACTGCCCCAGCAAAAGCTCCTCTCTCACATTTATTGATTATCACTTTCCAAAGAGCAATTAAGTAAAACGTTCGTGCAAAACAATTTTAGAGGGGTGAAAAAGTCCATTTTCACAGCATGGCTTCTGAATGGAGGAGTTAGCAACCCGAACAGAAAATGTCTTAAATCAGTGCTTAACTCTCCAGTCCCCGCAGAGGCCACCAATTTGTGACGGTTTATGGATTAATTAGATTTTACATTGAACCCCAGGGCTATTGATAAAAACTTCAGGCTTTTTTACTGATGAGTTTAAGGCTTACCTTCTTAACAACCACGCACAACACAAACCTTCTTATTTGGTTACTTAAGCAGGCAGCAAAATTGCAAGTTACAAAACCAGCCTTTATTTATGAAAATGACGGCGTCACGGGTGTTGCAGCCAACATTTTAATGTGCACAGCTGTTTTGTCAAGCACCTTTGAAGAGGAGAGAAGGGAGAGAGAACAAGCCTCCATCCTCTCAGTCAGCAGGTGGCCACAGCAGAAGGTGGCCTTTGAGCTGGGTCCTTCAGGTGTTGGCTCTGGGAACTGGCTAACAGCAAGGGGGAAGGTGGAAGAGACCTGGCTAGCAGGTGGCCACAGCAGAAGGTGGCCTTTGGATTGGGTCCTTCAGGTGTTGGCTCCGGGAACTGGCTGACAGCAAGGGGGAAGGTGGAGGAGACCTGGCTGGGGGAAGCAGGCTGATGGCAGAAGCCCAGGAGGTATGCTCTTTGATGGGACTTTCCTGCTCTTTGCCACAACTAAAATAGTCCTTGGAGTAAGCAGGTTTCCTGCATGCTTTTCAGCAGCTTCCATTGGCCAGTATTTATCATTTCCCCCCAAGCCCTGGGCCTGCATCTCGGCCTTGGGAGAGGACACCAAACTGCATCATTCCTGTGGAGCAGTTAATGGTACTTCCCCTTCTCTCTGTACACCTCATGTTTTACCTGTAGAGGGTTTCTTCCTACTAGTTACTGGCCTAAGCCCACAATCAAGGTGACACATGCGATACCCTTTGGCGAGTGTGATTTGCAGGTTTGATGGGAATCAATGAGTAGATGTAGTGCTGAGGGACATGG